ACCAATTGCAGACATCAAAATATTCGTTTTCTGCATTCGCGCAGCATTTTCTCGGTCGAGTTCTTTAATTTTATTAAAAAGCTGGTCAGTTGCAGTATTCCCTCAACGCGCAGCGATAAAATTGTGAGTGCATATAAGAATAAAATCTGTATAAAATTTTAATTAACTTTTATACTATGCAGACACCTGCTGCTGAGGAACTTTCGCTGCTGGGCGTACAGTTGGCATCACAGTTTCTGTTCCATACTGGATTTCGTACTAAGAAATCGCTGCGTGGTCCCGTCATTGAATGGTAAGTGGAGAAATAAACAGCAAAATGGTTATTTATTTAATTTTTGCTTTAGGTATGACACGCTTTCACATCACATACGTTCCTCCTCGCTGGTGCGCAAGTGGTTTGCGAATCATGCTCTGCTCTCGCCACCGTCGCGCCTGGGCGAGTATATATTGATGGCGCCCTCGCCGGAGGTTCGCACCGTGTTCGTCAAACTGGTTGTGTTCTTTTGCCATTTTGCCATCAATGATGAGCCGCTTGTTGGCTACGAGGGTAGCAATCTCTGCGAGCAGGTTCTTATTAGTGTGCTGCGTCTGCTTAAATCTGAGGCTGCTGACTATGGCAAGCATTTACCGCATTACTTCAGTCTGTTCAGCATGTACGTGGGCCTGGGTACTCGCGAGAAGCAACAGCTACTCAAGGTAATTATAAGGAGCCATTTTGCTTGTGTTACATTTGCTAATGTCATATTTTGTTTCTGTTTTACAGTTAAATGTGCCCGTGCAGTTTATGCAGGTGGCCATGGACGATGGATCAGGGCCGTCGATTAAGTATCAGTATCCAGAATTTAGCAAGCTGCATCAGGTGGTGTCGCATTTGGTGCGCTGCAGCGATGTCAGCGACAAGTGCCAGAGCTCCAATCAAAATGCACGACCTCTGCCCAATCCGTACAAGGACGCAAGTATTTCCCAAGAGGAGCTGACGCCGCTGTCCAGTGAATGCATGGATATTCTCTTCAATCGCACCGGGTAAGTCATTTGTCTTATATGATAATATTATCTTTTTAACGGTTGGATTTTCACAGCTATATCAAAAAGGTCATCGAGGACACGAATGTGGGCGATGAGGGTTTGAAGCTGCTACAGTATTGCAGCTGGGAAAATCCGCATTTCTCGCGTGCGGTGCTCACAGAGCTGCTGTGGCAATGTGGCTTCGCCTACTGCCACGATATGCGCCACCACACAGATCTACTGCTGAACATATTGCTGATTGAGGATTCTTGGCAGCATCATCGCATACATAATGCTCTTAACGGCGTGGCGGAGGAGCGTGAGGGTCTGTTAGAGACGATACAGCGCGCCAAGACGCACTATCAGAAGCGCGCCTATCAGATAATCAAATGTCTAACACAGCTGTTCCACAAGTCACCCATTGCGCTTCAAATGCTGAACACTAATCCCAGCATAAGTCGTCATTGGAGCATTGCCGTTGAGTGGCTACAGGATGAGCTGGAACGCCAACGTGGCATAGGCTGTCAGTATAACTCGTACTCATGGTCGCCGCCGGCACAGAGCAATGACAACACCAATGGTTACATGCTCGAGCGCTCACAGTCGGCCAAGAACACCTGGTCCATGGCATACGAGCTGTGCCCGGAGGAGGTGAGCGAGAAAGCTACGACGGTGCCTATAATACAAATTTATTTTTAAAATAAACCTCATACTAATGCATTCCTTTTTGGCAGGATCAGGAGGAGAACAACGAATCTGACTTGGAATCAAACGATGACAACAAGCAGGAGCTACAACAGCCGGCGCAGACGCAGCAGCCACCAGTCGCAGATACAAATGCTGGCAAAGAGCAACAGCAGCAGCCGGACAACAAATCCGCCAACTATCCACAGCTTACAACAATCCCAACAATTGGCGGATGGCCCGGCCCTGCCCCGAACTCAACACCGACTTCTACACCAGCACCAAACTCGGGTTCTATAGATGGCAATGGCATACCGAATTTGTCACGTCAATTGTTTAGCGCCTACACGTCTATGGGCGTCGTCTCCTCCAGTGACAATGTTGCACCGACTGTCGGTGGCGGTGGGGGCAGCGGAAGCGGTGCTAACAGCGAAACCGAGAGCAGCGCTCAGGATACGGGCAACACCGACTCCAACATAAATGGCCTTACCAACAGTTTGGATTATTTTTTAAAATTTAATATTTCATCAAAACAGGTAAGAAGCATGACAATGGAGCTCGATGGATAAATCCTAGAGCTGTAGTTAGTACTGTTACAGTCCACCTGGTTCAAGTCCTGCCTTGCCATACAAACAAAAATATGCCTATATATAATATATATATATATATATATATATGGTATATATATATATATATATATATATATATACCATACCAAACTACACTACACTCCACAACATGGTAACTTTGTTCTAATTCTTTCTCTGTTTCAAATTATCCAATGTGCCTTCTTTCGATGTTTCGCTGTTTTCCTTTGTTGTCCTCTTCCCTTCTGCCTTTCTGTTAAACTGTGCGCAGGGCAGCCGCAATCGTGTTAACCGAGGAGGTAAATTGCCGCCGGCAGCGGAGCTGCTAATGCCGCCACTGCAACAACTACAGTCACAACAACAACAACAACAGAAACCGCAACAGCTACAACAACAGTCACATCAACAAAAACATCAACTACAGTTGCAACTACAACCAAAACAGCAACAACAACTGCAACAGCAGCAGCAGCAACAACAACAACAACAACAGCAGCAACAACAACAACAACGTGGTGATATTAGCAACAGTTCCACAAGCCGCTTAATTTGATTTGCTGCCAAGTTAGTTAGAGTTGTTCATCTTATTCTGTGATCCGACCACATTTGTTATTGTTTTCGTTTAAACGTTTTGTTGTTCACTGAAAAAGCCAAAAGTTCTTTATATCGATCTATAGACACGATTGTCATTCGCATTGTTGTGTCTACCAAACGGGGACACAAGACTCCTGGCTTTAGTTTTATTTTATTTATTTTTTTAGCTAAATGCTTATTGACTCAGGCACACAAACACACACATACACACACACAAACACACACCTTGTACATACATACTTTGCACACTTAGTTGTTTTATGCTTAATTGACACGCTGACGCCCAAAGCACCCACAAAGTGTTCCAGCGCCAAGCTTACATATTTGCAAACCCACATATTGTTTTGGGTCTATAATTAATTTATAATTGTTTATTTTCATTCTTTTTCATTCACAGCAGTGTACGCCAAACAGGAAAGATCGAAGAAGGACAAGGGAAAAGAAGAATGTATTTAGAAGTTCGGAGGAGTACGAGGAAGTAGCAGCAACAGAGGCAACAACAACACCAATGCCTGCAACAGATACAACAGCGCCTAGCGCAATAAAAACACCAGCAGCAGTTGCAGATAGCTCAGCAGCAACAACAACAACAACAACAGCTGTAGCAACAACAACAAACGAGACAACATCATTAATAACAATAACAGACACAACAGCAACTTTGTTAACGCCGGCGAACACTACAACTACAACAACACCAACACCAGCAACAACAACAACAACGGGAGCGGCTGAACTCAATTCAATAATGGAGAAGAACTTAATTTAAAATATATAGAAACAAAACGAACAGTTTTTTTTCAATAAAATTACTAATCGCAACAATAATAAAAATAATATTAATAATAATAACAACAAACAAAACACTAAGCAATTTGTGAGCATCCATCAATTGACAATTTAAATTGTTTGGGTGGTTAAAGTTGGGGCAGATCGTTGTAAAAAAAAAATTGAAAAGAAAATGAATAACAAAAAAGATACACTAAAACGAGACTTAAACGCTAGTAGTTATTTACAAACGAATTAACAAATGAAAACTAGGCAAAAACAAGAACAAGAATACGAAAAACGATACTTAGTCGAAGTCGGATGCGAGAGGAGAGCAAGAGAAAATAAACATTAAGAATGGGTATGTACCAACAAATGGTGTTTAAAGAGTTATTGTACTTTATATTTACCTAAAAAAATTACATACATGCGTATACACTCACATACACACACACACACGCATACACACATACACACTGATGGTTTTAAGTTGCACGTTAATAGTACGATATAATTGTATTTATATAGTATATATAAATGATGTATTACGCATTGAAAGCGAGCAATCTAAACATTAACTGAATCAAAAAAAACCAACTAACAAAAACTACATACATACATACATACATGCATACATACTTAGGAAACAAAATTAATTAATTCGGCTGAATGTCGTCAAGACAGCTGCGTAAATATTTCGATTAAGGCAAGCAAAACCAAATTGCATCTTCAGTACTCATCATGCCACAAGTGTCGCTTCTGAAAGGCGTTTCAAAAATAATATTCAATTTTTAACTGGAATTGGATGCGAAATCAAAAACGAAAACAAAACAGTATAAAACGCCAGAGTTGATAGACAAATGTGGACTAAGAAAAAAAAAGAGAGCGTAAAATAAACTTGATTATGTTTATACTAAGTATATATATATATATTTTTAATTATTTAGTGTTTTTGTATTAAGTGAAATTTGTTAAACATTTATTAAATTATTATGTTTTAAGTTGCAAAATAAACGCGAAAAGTAAGCAAATAATGCTTTAATCACTTTTTCTCATAATTTGTTTTATAAGCCACAACAACGAACAAAACAAACAAAGCAATAGATCAATTCGATAAACAAACTGAAATATACAAATTGTTAATCTATTTTAATTTACATATTTTACATATGTAATCTGTGAAGTGTATGCGATAAGAGACACGCATAATGCATAAATTAAACAAACAAATAGGAAAAAAAATAACAATAAATTAAAATTAAATTTTTTCTAATTAATAATGTTTTGTATATGGCAATATTTATTAGCTGAGCGAATGATTCGCCTAGGCAAATGCAAAAGAAAGTTTATACTCTACAAAAGAAACACCCATTATTTTTATTGTCACAGGATTAGTTACAACAATGATCCATTTGATGAAAATATTTACGCTTAAATCTAATAAATGCACGTGGGTAAAGCTAAAACTGCTTAAGGATCAATTCAAAAGCACAGAAATAAATGCAACAAGTAAAATATTACGCATAAATGCAACAATTTCCTGGTATGCCCAGGTAAACCACATCGATTCTTTAGTTGGCGTCCTCATCAACGAATGTTATGACTGCCGCACCCTTGGCCATGTTGTCACCTACGGCGCCGCCAATTGATTTAACAGTGGCATCCTTTGGTGCTTTCAAAATGTGCTCCATTTTCATAGCTAGCGTTGTAAATGCAGATTAGAAAGTAAATTTAAAGCAAATGTCACGCTCAACACACCTATAAGAACAGCTAGACTGTCGCCCTTTTTGACTATGTCGCCAGGTTTGACCAGGATCTTCTCTAAGACGCCAGGCATGGGTGCCACTACTCGGGAGCCGCTGCTGCCAAGCTGATCAGCCTGAGCGCTTAGGAACTTTGGCTGCACCAGCTCGAAGTCCAATTTGCCATTCTATAATATTTAATAGGCATAAGTTCGCAAGGTCAACTTGTTTCATACTTAGTCTCTTACCTCTAGGAAGAGCGTTACATTTGCTCCATCAATGTTGGCATTGTAGGTGGAAATATTGTTATCAATATTGGCACGTATTTTCAAACGTCCGTCATCCTGGACACGTTCGGCCTTAACCACTTGCCAAGCACCGCCATCGACGCGAATTTCAATGTTACCATTATCATACTTAACGTCCACAGCATAAACTAAATTTAGAATTAGAGGCAGCAGCTGAGCAGCAGGTTTTGGTGTCTATGAAACTATTTGCATACCTTTGTCATGTGCCTTCAAATTGTAGCTGCGAATTAGCGCGTAATTGAGACGTACATTTGCTGCTGCAGCAAATGGATCCTGACTGCTGCTGGCATTGCTGCCGGCAGCCTGCAGCTCATTAAAGATCAGCGAAAGGGCGGCTTGGCTCAGTTGCTGCTCTTTGACTACAATTGGCGGAAAGAGTGTATCAAAGTGTTGATCGATGAAGCCAGTGTGTACATTGGCTAGCTGGAACTCCGGGTGCGAGGCCAGGTCAATGAGAAAATTAATGTTTGTCTCTAGCCCAGAAATCTAAAGTAATATAAGAGTTAGGCAAGGAGGTCTATCCTAAATCGTATGAACTACTCACATGATATTCACCCAAACGCGCAATCAGCGAGTTCAGCGCCTGCGTGCGATTCTCGCCCCACACAACCAATTTGGCAATCATGGGATCGTAGTGTACAGATACCTCATCACCCTCTCGCACTCCCGTCTCCACACGCACCTCGGCATTGGGCTTTGGCGTACTCAAGTAGCGCAGCGGTCCGGCGCCTGGCAAAAAGCCGCCGCGAGGATTCTCTGCATAGATGCGTGCCTCGAAGGCGTGACCACGGCGCGTGATCTGCGCTTGGGTCAGTGGTAATGGCTCTCCAGCGGCAATGCGTATCTGCCACTCGACGAGATCAGTGCCGGTTATCATCTCCGATATGGGATGCTCGACCTGCAGGCGCGTGTTCATCTCCATAAAGTGAAACGATAGATCCTCTTTATCTAGGATAAATTCGACAGTGCCGGCGCCCACATAGCCCACGGCCTTAGCGGCGCGTACGGCAGCTTCGCCCAATTCACGACGCAGTTCCTCTGATAAACCTGGCTAAAAATAGGGAAACAATTCATAAAAGCTGGCATTACTTTTATAGCAAGCACTCACTGCTGGGGCCTCTTCGATGATTTTCTGATGACGCCGCTGGACGGAACAATCGCGCTCCCACAGATAGACAGCATCACCGTACTGATCCGCAAATACCTGCACCTCTACGTGGCGGGGTGAGCGCACGTAACGCTCGAGCAGCACAGAACTATCTCCAAAGGCTTTCAGGGACTCGGTGCGTGCCGAGTTCAATGCTGTGAGAAAATCTTCGGGTTTCTCTGCAATTCTCATGCCTTTACCGCCACCACCTCGCACTGCCTTAATCATGAGGGGAAATCCAATAACGGCAGCCTCTGCCTGCAGGCAGGCATCCGACTGATCGTCGCCATGATAGCCATTAATGATGGGCACTCCGGCAGCTGCCATGATAGCCTTGCTGGTGCTCTTGATGCCCATGTCGCGTATTGCGGAGCTGGGTGGACCCATGAATATGACACCTTCTTTCTGGCATAGCTCAGCAAACTCCACCGACTCGGAGAGAAAGCCGTAACCAGGATGAATTGCTTGGGCACCCACCTTTTTGGCAATCTCCAGAATGCGCTCGCCGCGCAAATACGACGCCGCCTCGCCAACGCGATACGCTTCGTCGGCTAACTCGGTGTGCAGGCTGTGCTCATCGGGATCCGAATAGACAGCCACAGTACGTACGCCTAGTTTGCGGGCTGTTCTGATAACGCGACACGCTATTTCGCCGCGATTTGATATTAGAATTTTGTTGATCAGTTGGACCTTCGGTGTGGCTTTTGTGGCCATGCACCTGGCGAAGATAAAAACGTTTATGTAACAGTTGACTACAGTTGGAATAGTTCACAATAATTTAAAACTATTCCTGTCATTATTACCTTACACTGTGACCAAAATGCTGCAATAGTCCTGTATACATTTTTGTGCTGTTTAATGTAAATAATGAATAAAAACAATTATTTATTGCGAGCAGTCTTATCACAAGTCTACCGCACACAATCAATGTGAACGACACCTGTTTTAAGAGACGGCAACTTGCATGACGATCATTTGTGGAGTATGTCGATAGTCGATACAATAATCGATAGCCTGAACAGCTGTTCATGGTATGGTTCTTGGTTCTCCTTATCGGTTATAATTTGAAAGCAGTTGGCAGTTCAACAATTTAAATTAGACGCACTTTTTGATTTCCTCAAAGAAACAATTAAAACAAAATAAAAAAAAGGATATGTAAAATAATTTAAATCAGCAAGTAAAACTAATTAAGTTGGCAAGTAAACATTGGCAAGTAACTGTTTTATGTAGCAAACTAGATGAACTGAATCTGGTTCGCTTATTTAGTTGGGCTATCGAACCTATTGGGAACAATTCGATACAAATCCAATGGTGACCGGCAAAATTTAGCCAACAATACACAATAAGATTTTATAATTCAAGCTTTGTATAGCATCGCCTGCAAGTGTAAAGTTTTAAGGTAAATTTGTAGCTTGATATTAACTAAAGCGGCTGTGGGTATTTGGTTACTTTGAAATTTTTATATATGTACAATTGTTGCTCATAATAGGGCTTCATTGAAAGCGTCTCCACTGGGATTGTCATGGATAAGCGCGTCACTGTCCTGTTGCCCAATGGTCGTCGACAAAACGTCAACGTTAGGCCAGACATGACATTGCTGGAGGTACTGGAGACGGCGAGCGCAAAGCATGGCTACGACAGCGAGGAACATTGCCTCAAATTCCACAACAAGGATGTTAGTCTGGCGCAGCAGTTCCGCTTTAGCGGCCTGCCCAACAACTGTGTGCTGGAAATGGAGCCTACGGAAAAGCGGCGGCCGTTGAGCAACGTTGTGGTATGCATTCAACTTATTGACGGATCCCGTCAGCAAGGCGAGTTTCCGCCCAGCAGCACCGTCTGGCAAATAGTGCAGGAGCTATTTAGTATCCAAGTGGAAGCCTACGAAAGCCCGGTTATCATTTACATGCGTAGCGAGGTGATTGGTGAGGAGCAAATGCGTCAAACGACATTGAAATCGCTGGGCATACTAGAGGGACGCGCCATGATGCGATTGATCGACAAGAAGCCGGAGGAGCTTAAAAGGCAGGCCAATGTCTACAAGCCGGCAGAGACGAAAGCAAAATTAGCGGACGAGTACGACGAGCAGCCCAGCACCTCGCGGTCGGCCATGGGTGGTTCTGGCAGCGGTGGAGGCGGCTTTGCGCTTACCAACGATATGTTGAAATCGCTCAAGCGCTCAGCCTCTAATGAAAACTCCCCTACGGCCTCAGCAGCAGGAGCTCCTGCCGGAACAAATGTGCAAAAGAGCGAGCCTGAGCAGGTCAAATATGACTGGGGCAGTGGCTCGGGCTACTTACTGCATCACCGCAACGAGGAGGAGGAATACGATGAGGATGCCGATGAAAATACCGGTAAAGTACCGCCAGTGGTAAACGTAATTGGACCACGTAACGCGGTGCTGTTCTCACTGGATGCGGCCAACAGGCATAACGACGATCTGCCCGATTCGTTTTTCGACTTGACAGTCAACGACTTGAAAATGGTGCTGCGGGACCTGAAGCGCACTGCGGCGGGCAACGAGGATGCGCCGCTGCTCACTTCCAATCTGCGTGAATTAGAACGCCAAAAGGCCATGCTGGCGAAGTTGAATCAGTACAAGGATTGCGTGTTACGCATACAGTTTCCCGACCGCCATGTGCTACAGGGAATTTTTAAGCCACACGAACCGCTTGGCAGGGTGGAAGAGTTTGTACGTGGATTTCTTGCCAATCCCAGCGAAAAATTTCACCTGTTCACCATACCGCCAAAGAAGATCTTGCCGACGGACGAAACGCTTCTGGAGCTCAATTGTGTGCCCAATGCCGTGTTGCATTTCACATTCGTTCAGGACAACCTAAACGCGGTGACAAATAGTTTCCTGCAGGAAAAATTTATCGCGCAGCTAACCTCGGAGGAAGGGGCTCTTTATGCCGTGCAAAAGTATCGCCTCACCAGGGCCACCGTTAGTTCCAGTTAGTTGTGGAATCTATGCATTTTAGCGAACACTTTGCGTGATAATAAATAACTCGCTTTTTTTTATTCTATAAGCGAACCAATGCTACTGCATCCCTTTAACTGTTCGAAGAATTCGCCTGACATGGTCTTCTAAATATCTGATCCATGTTATAAATCCATTTAGTCATCACTAAAAGATCGCAATTTTCAATTGGGAAACTAATCAAATTTCACAGCACTTACCATACTTAGAGCCAACTATGACAGGACATGCGGCGTGAACCGTTTTAGGATGGGGCGTGCCGGAATCTTTTAAATTGTGCCACAGAATAGCAGTCCCTTTCTTGGGCGTGATTGTCAGATTCAGTAAGGGAAATGTTGTGGCACCTCCCAGTTCAACGTCACTCAACTAGAACATTGAAAAACCTCCTGACTTTTGCTCAATTAAAACCAAACGGACTCACGTAAAACAATGCTGTAGCTATGCGATCTTCCGTTTTATTTTCCTGCAAAATAATTAGGCGAAATGAACTGCTTGGAAATCATATGTACATACCTCTTCAGAAAATGAATCGTGGTGGGGAATATAGTGACCGCCGATGCCGTAGTTGATCAAAGATAGATCATCTGACCCTTCCATGCTCAAGCCAGACATGTCTGTCACTCGCCTTTCGATAGTCTTAACTAGCTCGCCCTTATCCAATTCAATGAAAACGTTCTTGCCGCTGCGATCCGCTGAAAATCCTCCATATTCCAACAATGCGGGCGTATAATCAAAGCTTTGGGTTAGGAACCACTCAATTTCGCTATCGTAAATAACATTGTGATAGAGCACCACGAAAGGATCCATGCTGAGCTCCTCCATTTTGAGTGGTGCAATGCGAAGAAAGGGCGTTGTCCAATTGTTATAGCGACAATGCAGGTGACTGGGTCGTTGCAAACTGGAGGCACAGTGTTCCTTTAGGGTCGCCATTCTAATGTGTTCTTCCAAAATTCCGTCATAGTCTTCAGTTTTTGCTTGGTTTATATGCCACATTCCTAAAGATTTCTCCTTGCGTTTAATCGAAAGGATTCCCAACCACTTATGGATGAGTTTTTCATTAATGAAGATACTGTAAGTGGCCTCTTGACTTGGGTCGTATTTCAAAAGCGAGGCATTTAACCAAATTTCAGCTTTCGTATATTCCTTCTGGAAATAGTTGAACATTCCCAAGGCGTAACAATCCATTGCCGATAAAGCAGCTCTGAAAGTATCAAAACTTTAATAAGTTATCCACTAGAAAAGGATGAAGACACAAACTCTGGCTGGGAATATCCTAATAGTTTGCCGTTTGCAAATTCGTTGGGATTCAGTTCATAATACGTAATTAGGAGCTCGATACTGTGACTGGCCTGCTGAAGGTCTACAGCTGTGGGTAGTTCCGAGCGCATTTCATGCGCATATGCCATATGTTCTGAATGATTAAGGAAATATTTAGCACAGTTATGAAAATTGGTCATTTACTACCTTTCCCAATTGTTTCACTCATGAACAACGCCCATTTCTGCCAATCCTGTTGCTGATGGCGTATGAGCGCGAAACTCTTCAGAGGATTGCTCAAATAAGTCTTAAAATATAAATTCATTCTAAACGCCTCTGCACGAAATTTTGTGAGTGCTCTAAAAAGGTGCATGAACAAAAAATACAACTAAATAGTTAAGACATTGCATTATTTACTGTTGAGTTAGGTCGAGTTTCCATTTAAGCTCTTCCACGTAGCTAGCCAGGTTTTTTTCTAGCATTTCCTCAACATCCAAAAGTCTTTTTAAGACTTCTGTCGATGCTGCATATGATTTCTCTCTTATAAGATTCTCAATGGCATTTGCTTCGAACAAACTCAAGCCTATTGAGGCTAGAAATATGATTATCCTTATTAAATTCATTTGATATTCCCGAAGAGCTTAGCTCTCTGTTTTATAGTCGTAGAATAACTCTGTAGAGCGCAGAATAACGAATATTATTAAGTTTAAAAAACCTGTTGTAAGAAATTGCAATCGGTCATGGTAATTAGATGTGACAAATCAAAAGGAACAGAGTAAATTTAGGTTGACTCGAGGGAAATACCTTGTTAAATAAGGTAAGCTCTGATTGCAATATGATCTAATGAGAGTTTTACGTAGACAAGATAAATTTAATTTAATAAAGAAACTTTTAGAATTTTAAATAGGCTAATCAATATGAATAACAAGAAGTTAATTATCACTTATCAACCAGGTCTTTCCTTTTGAAAAACGCAGCTTGTGCCAGTGTTGCAAAGTGTCGGATGCCACATGCCCATATGAGAGAGACACTCGCAGCACTCACGCATGCGCGAAGCCGTCGCTTTCGAAACCGAGCCCCAGAAGACCAAAGAGGCCAGCCAGCTCGGGGCTGGGTGGATTGGTTAGCCACAATTTCTGAATCATATTCAGTTTTCAGTCGTTGGCCGCTTGTCGAAGTAACAAGTTTTGTAAATCGCGCATTCAAACACCATTCGAGTCGCATTCGCATACGTTAATCGGTAAAGGAGCCACGCTCTAGACAACAATTGCAAGCACGAATACAAGCTTAATATATTTATGTATATGATTGATTTAAGAAACAACAACAAACAACCAGAATGCGTGCCAATGTGAAAAAGTGAAATACATATTCGTTTATATTGGCCGAGTCGAGGCCAATGCATTTTTTGTGAATAGATTAATAATTGCTTATGTTTCCAAAAACAAAATGTGTAAATTTGCTAACTTATTGGAGCAACAGCAATAATTGTGCTAATTTAAATGAAACCGAACAAAATTGAAACACAAATAACAGACAATGGAATTAAATAAAAGCGTATCGCAAACAACTTTTACCTATGATTTTTATCTTTACAAGTTTTAAACGCAGAACCGCCGCCAGTTGCCTGTTTTTTTTTCTCTCTCGATGCTGTTGTTGTTGTTTTTGTTTCTTGTGACAGTAGGCGTCTGAACGTGCCGACATTTTTTGGGGGGGCGTGGCGGCAATAGCAACGAAAACAACCTGCGACAGCCACGAAAATTATGGCGCGAGAGCCAAGAAATCAACCAAGCGGCCGAGCAAACTGATTGGAAAGTGTTTGGCCCGTTACGCTGAAAATATAAAACAAAACGCTTCAATGATTTGTTTTAAACAAACTGGCATTTAGCTTAAACATGATTACAAATATCTATGGATATAGTCATCATTTTACTATTGTTGTAAATGCATATGTTGTTGAAAATGCCAACATTTACAGCCCACGCGACTTCTTTTTTTTTTTGGTTTTGGTTTTAATCGACATTGGCATCTGAGTCTGGGCTCTTCACTTTTACTTTAAACGGAAAGAGAGAGTGTTTGACCAGCTCATTTGCGTTTCTGTTTACCGGTTTTTCAATTTACGCGCATTTTTTTTTTTTTGGCCACAACAATTGTTTATCTGATATCTATTTTGTTTTCTTAGCAGGCAGCTGGAAAAAAGATATAATATATAGATGTAATAGCTTCATTAAATTTAATTAAAGCAACAACTTCCGAGTCGGACCGCATCTCCGGCAGCACGAGCCGTGCATAAAGCCATTTTATACTGCGCGTGCCTACATCAAAATAAACGTTTATTTTCCATTTTCATAGCAAGCAACAAAAAATAAAAAACATTGTGCTTAAAGTTTTTCAGTGTGTGAGTGCGTGAGTGTTTTTGTTCAACTGGGAAATTGGCAGCTAAAATAAAACGAAGCTAACATTTAAACGACGTTTTCCCCTAACGAATCACATATAATCAAAATAAAGCGCTGTAAATAGTTGGGAAAATGAATTTTTTCGTTATTGGATTTCTGATCATGCAGGCGGCAAGTGAGTAAAATATGTAGTTTATTCATATAGATATAGATTTGTAACGTTTGCCAAAAGTATTTCTACTCGGTGTTGGTTCAGCTAACTTACATAATTGACTGTTAAGTTGTTCACATTTTTGATTATATTAACATGTGTGGGCAATGTAATAATAATAATAATAATAATTAAATAATAATAATAAAACATATACACATTAAACATAACATCAGTTTGCTTTCTTTAAGTATTACATATTTTTAGGTAATTATGCTATTCAAATTGTTTTGCTTATAACAAATCAAGTTTGTGCCCTAAGTCTTTCGTTTCCGCTGCCTTGTCACGCATGACAAAAAAAAGTTATTAAATTGCTTACAACAGAGTACCGCACATTTCGGTTGTTAACCCAAAAAGAAAAATTCTTATGCATCACAGTTAAGTGATGTGTACACTGCATAGAAGACCGGCTGATGGTATAAAAAGCGGCTCTCTGATTTGATATGTGCACAACATAATAGAACAGGTTATGCATGAACTTAATCTAAGTGGCTAGCATTCAATTGCAATTGAGATGAGCAGCAAATTCAATTCAAGTCACCTGAATTGTGCAGTTGGGCAGTGCATAGAAAAGCGCGCCAAAAGCGCGATTCATGACAACAGAAATAACCGAAACGCAAGCAAAACAACAATTGACTTCTTCTACGAGCATATTCAACCATTTACTTTAAGACTGTTGCAGTTTTTCGATAGTTTCTAGTTATACCCTGCAGCCATCTAGAAGGGTAGCTTAGCATGATGGGATTTTAATAAGTAGACAGTAGATAGGCTGGGCTGAACTGACTAAACTCGTTTGCCTGCAGCTCTGGAACTTTACAAAATAGAAGCAGGAAAGTTGGTATATGTATTCTTGTATACCTTTAAAAACTGAGAATAGTTTCAGATTTCTGCTAATTTTAATCTGCTCATGTTAGTGGCCATCTTAGAGATAAAGATCTTGAGTCTTGAATGTCAGCTTGCATCATACCTATTAAAGCGTCATCTAGTACAGGGTATTAAATATTCGCGCATCCTTGACACTGTGTTTTTCTGTTTGCAGTTTTGGTGTGCCGCTCGTGTTTAGCCCGATTATTTGGCTAGCTTCTGTGTGTTTTGGGTATGGTTAATATTTCAGCTTTGTGGTTTCTCAATGCAAACGAGCTTGAGCATTTAAAACCTTGCTAATGCAACTTGCAAGAAAATACAACTTGATATTTTGTTTATGTTTGTGTTAATGCTGTGACTTGCAAGAATATAGATAGCATATACTAAAGTCTTTTCGTTCTTTGTGTCGACTAACGAGCCTGAAACTGATAGATTTTGGTTAGAGGGCTGGACTATAGTGTCTCATTAAAATCGCACACATGTAATTCGAGAGAATAACTTCAGAGGCAACTTGAAGCTGAACTTGGATGAAGAGTGCTTGTTGTAGTAGAAGAGTAAATCCCCACACCCGGTTTAGTCATTAGTTTTCATCCATGGCCGCAATTTAGCAGGTGTTATCGTTTCGCTTGGCCATATAAATCAATTCGCATGCAAATTGAAACACAAATTAATTTTGTTTAACCTTCGCACTGCAATTTGGCCCGAACAGCTTTTGCCTGAAGTGTAACATATCAACACATACAATTTGATTTTAGTCAAGTGCCAAATCACTGGGCACTGCCTCGACATTGACGGCCAGACAAGTATTATGGGCATTCTGTCTAGCATACGCCCAGCCAACAGAAAATCGGTCAAGTTCAGCTTCAAGATGAGCATGTAGAGCGCATCAGTCATAGACCAAAAGCCATTCGGTGTTAATGGCCAGTTAACTTGGCTCAGCGGTTCTCTTTGATACGGAAAGAGAAGCGTAAATAAATCTGCATAAGCCGCGCGCTTCATTTGCATTTCCACTTTTGTTTCGGGGCTTGAACTATTTGGCTTGGAATGCGAAGACTGCAGCTTGACTCAGTTTTGGCTGCGCGTCTGCTGAATCATTTGGCCGAACTACGCCCAGGTTGCACAATGATCTCTGCCGTGTAGCGGCTACATGTGTGTGGCCTAATGCTCAGCTCTGGGCATGTTGATGGCTTCATAAAGCTCCGGTAGGCAATCGAGCATAGTGATTCATCAATTCCAAGCCAATCAGTTTTTTGAGACGCGTCTCAAGTCGCTTCAAGTTTGTTTCCCTTTTTTTTGTGTTTGGCTGACCATCTCAGTCTTTTGTTTTGTGGTCAATGACGCAGCGCTTTGGCATCGCTTCTCTCTGTCTTTCTCTCTTAGCTTCTCTCTTCTTTTTTATATAACCCACATTTTGGCAGACCGCTTTATGCAACTTCTTAGCTAAAATAACACAACAAAAACCTGACACAGCCGGCTAAAGGGCTGGCAGCACTTCATATTATTGCAAATGAAGTGTTTTTTTGTTGCCTGAGGAGACACTTGAACCAAACCCAAATGAGTCTAAGTAACCAATAATGCGCATACGCCCCGTGTGACAGACATATTTCAAATTACTTTCAAATAGCAATTAGCATTTAGGTTTTTATACTTATACAAAGGGTATTATGATTTTGTCATGTAAAGTGTAACGCTTGGCGGGAGAAGCTGCTGACCCCATGAAGTCTATATATTCTTGATTAGTATGATAATCATCAGTAGCCATGCTTGTTTGTCATGATACTTTGCAGAAGCTCGACTTTCTGTTATAGGCAGTTTTACACTTTTCGCAATATCCACTCCTCTTGGATGGAAAGTGCGAGTCAAATTTTGGGTGATCAAAAGTTTGTTTTTCGACTTTAAGATTCTCATCACGAATCAAATGTTAGTCCTTAAGTCAATGGCTGTCCAATTTATTTTTATTTATTTGTATACTACATATTTTTGGACCTGTTGTTCAATATTTACGTGTCATTGCCGGCAGCTAATTAAATATCTTGAGCTAAACGGGCATTTAAGAGCCTTACTAGTTTTTAATATATTTGCAAATCTGTATCAAGGCTTATGTATGGCACGTGTGGCACCAATTGAAACGTTTAATCAGAATTAAGGCTTTTATAGAAAAGCGCCTGTAAGTCAGAAGGGCATTTAATCTCCGACGTGTCCGTTCTGTCTCGTTTCCTAATTACATTGCCGGGCTCTCAAGTCCAATCGGCAGTCAACGGAGTTGCACAGCACTTGCAAGCCAGGAAAAAAGAAACTTGTAAATTGCAGTGTCATATTGATGGATCTCAGCATTACAAGTAAAAGATGAAAAAAGAAGCAAAAAAATATGCTGTCCTAAGTGACTAAGTGAGCAATTTGCAAAGTGAAAGGCGCGGCTGTGCCCACTGCACAGACACATGGAGAACCGTCCTTCAGTGCATTTGGTATACGAGTATGTACTTGTACTTGATTTCTTGATTGCTTCATTACTTGATTTCACTTGCAAATTTGTGGCATATTTTCACCTCTTGCTTCGTTTTAGGCATGTGAGCTAATCAACATGCCCGCAATTCCCTTCCGCTCGTCGCACTTTGTTCACAATTAACAATAAATTATAGCATAATTATCGCATCTTCACAGCGCTTTGCTGGTAGCATCATGCAAGAGTCAAGCACATCCACATCCACACATCCACAGCCAACAATACAAGTAGTCCACATACATAACCAGCATGTGGTGACTATTGTCTGGCTCTGCCATAGTTAACTATGTTAGTGTGTCTCTTGTGAACTGGCGGCTACTTTGGCCCGCTCACGCAACCCGCTCGCTCACGTAAGACCTTCAAAGGTCACGCACGCCGACTCCAACTCGGCCGAATCCGAATGCGTCTCCATCTCCGTCTCTGGCTGTGTGATTCCATCAGCCAGTCCGCGTCTCGTTGCAGACTCATTTTGTTCACCCGGGCTGCATTGCTTCTGGGCGTCTTTGTTACCTTTTGTTATTGTCGCTTGACATTTTTATTGCCCTAACACGAGAGTTACGCACTTTTCCCATCAAGCTTGGAACATTTTTTAATAGTTAGTTCAGATTGTTGCCAAAAATCAGTCTGGACACTTTCATACACAAAATATATAGATTATATTTTCTTAGTTAAGAACTGTAATAAAAAAGTACAAAAATAATAATAGTTTAACGAATATATGATTTATTTTATCTGTGTATCTAATTTTTATTTCATTTAATTTGATAAATTATTTTGATAAGAGTACATTATTTTCTAGTTTTTCTTTTATTTGAAATACAAGAAACCTAACTTTATTTGCAAATTCTTTCTTACTTCATAATTAGAGAAAGTGCATTGAAAGTTCGGCATGCCATAATAAATATTTTCTTTGGCTTTTTTTATTGTTTCTTGCCTATTGGCCACACACACACACACACGCACACACAAGACATGCAACAAGCGGCGGTCAAATTGCAATTTAATTCGACATTTTTGAAAGATCTTGAAGTGGCCAAACATTTTGTTGGGTGTTTTTGTTTTCGGGGCCCTATCACTCACTGTCAAGACCATCGTTCAATTAACATAATTAACTGACAAAACGAATTAGCATGCAGATTGGCAGCCAGCACTTTACATAGATACCATGTCACGATGTTGTTGTTGTTGTTGTTGCTGTTGTTGTTTATTTGAGTATTGTTTGGGCTGGTTTCTAATTTGACACTTGTCTGTCTCAGATACTTGGCCCAACTCACGCACCTGAATCATGGCTGGGACAAGGTCAACTTAGCCAGATTAGCTCCTACATAGAGTCTATCATCGTTTAGTAACTTTTAAGATCCAAGAGATATCGTTAAAGGTTTTACCCCACATGCCATGCAAATGATCAGCTATGCATTCGGTTAACAGTTTTATGAAATCTTAGAAATATTGTGGGAAATTGAAAACTTATACGCTGTCGAGGTCAAAGTTGTGGTGCTTATTGTCTAGGCATGCATCTAGCCGAAAGGGAAGGGAATTCTCATAGATTTTGGAAGAAGCTTTTAATCGTTTATTTCAATTCAAAGTTGTTTCCTTTTATGTTCGTCTTATTTTCGTGCCTTAGCCAAGTTAACATTTAAATATTTTTGGCCTATGGAATGTTGTGCGTTGGTCATTTTAAATGCGACATCAAGTTTGAACAATGCTCTCGGCCTGACAATGAACAAAATATTGAACATAAAAAGCAGCTGGCTAACAATGCAAACTGAATCTGGGCGCTGAACAAAAATAAAACACGTAAATAAAAATGAGTTCGCTAAAAGGGAAACCAGCAAACGGCATTTAGAGGTTAAGGCTTTGGCAGGCAGGCAACAACAAGAAACACTTACTGCTGGTTTTTTGTACCGAAATGCTCAGGCTCATATAATCAACAGATGGGCCGCATAATTTATACAAGATATTTGCATTATATCTCTGCGGCCCAGAGATCATCAGATTGAATTAATGCCAAAGACAAGACGCAAAGCGGCAGCAATTAATACAAATTTGTTGTTGTTGTTGTTGTTGACCCACTTTCGCGCCCAGGTGCTAACTGGATGTGAGTTGGGACGGTCCGAAGAAGGCTACTGGGGAAAAGTACGCAGCATCGCTGAAACGGAAAGTAACTAAGACACCGCCCGCCCGCCCGTCTGTCTCCGGATAGTTTTCTGGCTCGTGCGTCGGTCAGTGGCATATATGCTGACATCGGCATTACCGACTGCATATTTATGCCTCATTATTTGTTCAGTTTCAGTTTCAATTTCTATTTGCTTGGCGTGGCGGCGACTTCAGCGACAAGTCATAAGCTCGAACCACTAACATTTCATACAGACGCGCACGAGATGATGACGGGTGAAAGCGGCCTCTGACTAACTGCGTTAACGTTGTTTGTTGTTGTTGTTGTTGTTGTGGTTGTTTTAGTGCTTATTGTTGTTGGCATTGTCTCTGACAGTGCGCCGGTCTATTTGCCGGCTATTGCTCTTCCTCTGCGTAAACAATTTTTAGCACTGCACAAAAATTTGTTTTCAGTTTTCTTTCAGTATTTTTTTTTTTGCGCCACAAATTGCAATACTAATATTTATGTTTTTGGCCATGGTTAATTGTTCCGCCTGAACTCTGCCCGTCCCTATCTGGCCTGGCGTTGTCAATTTCGCCCCAAGCCAATCTATTTTAATGTCTCTATCAACAGGTTTGTCTGTGTTTAAGTTCCTCTGCCCATTTCGGGCGGATCATTAAAATTGCTGCTCGCTCAAAGCGTGGCCCACGCGGCGCATGGTTAATGTAAATATGGACAAAAGTGCAATTACGATTGACTAAACTACATTTATATTAGTTAAGTACTGCAAGAGAGTTTGAATGAAAGTCGTTGTCTGGTTTTTTTTAAATTTATTTTTTTTGCATTTAACGGCAATGCAAATTTGTTAGCGCCCATATAGAAGACCTTAATCGACTAGTGTAAAGAATTATTGAATTACTTGAGGAAAAACCGACGTCGCCTGAGTCAAATGAATAATGCTGAAATGTTTTTACTCAAATTCTGTGGGTAAATCTAGACAGTTTCAGGAATATTTAAGCCTCAGTACTGCTCTCTATTCTCATATTAATTTTACTTTATAGAAGCTACGCTTTAAGTTAGGTGGCTTTTGCTCTTCATCCTTACCTAAAAAAATAAACTAAAATTAGCTAATAATTAATAAAATAAACAAAAATGTTGTCTTCCTTCTACACGGGGTTCGATCCCTTATACTCAATATGCCGATCTTTCGCGCTTTTGACAGCAATGAGGTGGAAAGTTCGAAACATTATTCATGGGTTAATCCCGGCTTATAAACCGGACTTAAGGGGCATTCATTTGTGCGCTTCGTGGTATCCAGACAATCTTAATTGGGCTTGTAATTTTTTTTTTTTAAATTGAAAATACATACCTGGTTACCTACCTATTTAGTTATATAAAAGGCGTTTACATTTGTCACACTCATATTTTAAAATCTCATTTAAATTTAATTTCAAGCGCATTTTGAATATTTGAAGGCATTCAAGTACCAAGCTTGCCTACCAATTTACTTTCGAGTATCTTCTGGTCGAGCACTAAATACAAGTGAATACTAATACTAACTAATTTCAGCTGAAATATGCTTAAGCAATGTTTAAGTAAAGCGTGTTTACCTTCAATCTGGCTATCCTTCACATTCTGAGTACCATAAAGTCGTTGTCTCCTTGTATCTGAGCAATTAACGCTCAATATAATTTAAAAATTTAAAAAGGCCGTAGAAATCTATTGTTTCACTTAGACGTTTCTTGAAAAATGCTCGTTATTCTAACCATAATTAAGATTTGAAGATGCTAATGCTGCCTTGTCATGTTGACTCCCCATTTGGTGGCTTACATAGCATTAATGGCACCTAGCCGCAAGTCTGTAACCCCAACTGAACCGCAAATACTCGTTAATCTAAACGAAAAATCGGGCCTTGCTGATGCCAAAGTGCGCATTGTTATTAAAACACGCTCCATTTTCCTTGAACCAATGGCTGAGAGACTGGCTAACCGGCTGAGTTTAGCTATTAACACAAGACCAACAGCCAATTAATTGGCCCGTGGCAACAGCTCCATTAATTGGATGTGTGTACTCGCATCGTTGCAAGTATGTTATCGATGCTCGGGCAAACAGTTCAGACTTTAAGTGCGCATACCTAATGCACAGATTAGCTATGGTCTATATATACTCTGCTATATGTTTTTGTCAGGCTTGGGGTATGCTATCATGGGCATTTTGTAAGAATCCACTCAGAGCTCGGTGCTTATTTCATGTCCCACTTGACATGCTAACAATTTAATTTGAACTCAAGACGTTGCAATTTGGTTCACTTGTTGTTGTTGTTGCTGTTGCTATTGTTGTTGCTTTTGTAGATTAGCTAACAGTCATTTAAGCTCAATATATGCACACACACACACATACACGAACTCTCTCACACACACACAGTGTTCAAAGTGCCTCTAGCATATACATAAGTTTTTAAGTGCTTACTTCGTTTTTTTATTGTAAGCTCGACTTAAAAAAAATGCACACATATGTAGGAATCTGCCGGATCGAGACACTATTACCTATATCTGCCAAAGGAATGATTGATCAAAGATTGAGTTTTTACGTATTTTAAAATAATTTATGAACTTTTCGCTGCATCTAATATTTGGGCAAAATCAAGCCCTTTATCGTATAGCTCTTTATAATAATAAAACATTTTTGTTTCTTAAGATGTGTTGAGGAAACTCAAAACTTCGCTATTTTCCACACACATTTGCCAGACCTTAAGCCATGTGTCAATAAGAGTATTTTATCTTCGACATGTCGTTCTTGGCTTTTGCACTAGGAAGTTATGCTCAAATATTTATTACTAAAACACTTAGGTAATTGGGTTCTTTGGGCTTATGTCGTAATTGCCCCGGTCACGGCATCATTAGCCAAGCAGCATATGTCAGAGCTGTGGCCCCTTGGCATCTGATCTCGGCGACCGGTTAATATATTTCACTCTCCAATTGCAAATTTAGAAAAACATATAAAAGGTTTCCGCCTCAGTGCACATAATCTTAAAATGTTCAAAGCCTTTTGTTCAATTTAACACCTTGATATATATGAAGGCAGCAACTGTGGGTTTTTACCCTTTGATATGAGAGATACATCAATCAAAATTTCGTCCGACGCGTTTTGAATTTGATGCGGGGCATCTTTGTGGGATTGAAAGATATATTTCCATATGTTTGTATACGCATTAGAGTTGTCGTTTATTTGTTGAAACCTTTGCGAAAACTGTGCCACGGGCAGTCACGGCCTGTGCCGAGATCTTTTCAATTGGATTGTGCTGGGGCCCAACCCAAACGAATTTTATTATGAAAGCACGAATTCATTTGTATATAACTTTGTATGGTACTGGTGTCTAAATTTACAGATATTAATCAACATAGAAATATTATTTACTTAAATTTTATACAGCAAATATTTCCCATAAACTCGCTAATCCCACGCTTTACATACTAACTAAGTGTACCTTTGTATTATATTGAAAAACTATCCTATTCTGTGTATGCTTTTTCTATTTATTTATAGGATTGGCTTGCGGGACGTGCGTTTTTATGTCCGATTTTGGTTTCACCCTCGATTGTAACTTCAAAAAGTCTGGACTGTTTCGTGTTCGAAATTTGGGTGGCGTCAAGGCGCATTTCGGTTTAGGTAAATTTATCAAGAACAACACGAAAATCAAACAACTTTCTATTCTAAATTCCTTGCTCAAACTTTAACTATCTGCCCGGTTTTAATAGTAAGTTGTACATACAAGCATAAAGTGTATATAGATATTAATCAAGTGCAGCTAATCGAGCAAAAACAAATAATTTGCAGCATTTAAGTCATCAATGAATTAATGCCAATGCCAATGCCAATGCCAAGCCGACGAGTTTAGAGTGGAGCAAGAGAGACACAGCTGCGGTTCAATATCCGTAGCATTAGCATTGATCATTGATCATTGACCATTGACCATTGTCTAACCCTAATACAATTTTTATCTGTAAATATAATGCAAAGCAAGGGATAAAGACAAAATAAGATTTAAATGAACGATTTGGTTGATTGATGGAGCGTCACGTCATCGCTGTTGAGAGCCAGCCTAATCCCACTTGTGTGCTTGCAGGTCTTAGTGTGGGCGATGAGTTGGGCTTCAAAGAATCGCTGGGTAATGTGGAGAGCGATCGCAGACGCGCCATAAGCTACAGGAACGGAGCACCAGAATTGGTGGGCGTGCTGCCCTCTGCGCGGCAGCAGGAGGTAAGTCTTGCTACGATTCGAACGATTACTGCTTGCTGCAATCACATTTATGCAGGCCAGTGCACCCGTGCAGCATGCTCTGCCGGACAAACGAATTAGTTCACGCTCCACGGGACCCGGACCCTATAATCTGCAGTTGCTGCAGCAGGCGGTGGCCAAGAGTCAAGCACAGCAGCAGGCACAGCTTATGACAGAGGCGCGCCCGCTGCCCTTGGGCGTGCCTGCCTTCCGGCCTATACCACAAAAGGCCACGGCCAACGAGCCATTGGCCACGTCGCCGGTGGGCGCCCAGCGTCGCTTAGCCGTGGACACGACGCAGCCACGAGTTAGTGTCAACAATAAACTGGTGGAAAGCCATGTAAAACCGGTGAGCATAAAATCCATATAGCTCTTCAGTTAACTTGACCTGTCGCACTTCTTTTAGCACTCCAATCGCACGTTCCATGCGGACAATCCGATGGTGGCGCAGCCGATTCATTCGCAACCGGTGGCAGTGCCCGTTTTCCAGGCCATGCCCGAGTCCATTGCACGCATTGCCAATGTGGGCAAGGCAGATGTGGCGCTACCGGAGCAGCGCACACTCGCAAAGCATCCCAATTATTTGCAGTTCGAGGAGCCCAAGTTTGATTTGAAGGATGTGACCGTTGAGGAGCTCGCCGCGGCAGCCAATGTCACAGTCGACACCATAAAGCACGCCATCTATGTGAGAGAGCAGCAGCTGAAGGCGGAGCATCGCGCCATGCTGGCATCCAAGCTGCGTGAAGAATTTATGCGCACATCCACCGTGAAGACAACAACGACAACAACTACGACACCAAGGCCCAGGCAACTGGCGGAGCACAAAGTATCCAAGGTAGGTTTAAAGCAACGAATAATGCAAAATTTTAACAAATCTTTGGCGGACAGGTCATGAATGCGCCCAAGGAGTACTACCCGGTGGGCTATGACAAGAACTTCGATGACAACTTCAAGTCGAAAGTCGATTTGCCGCCCACGAGCTTCTCCTGCGCCCGACAAAAGCATTTTCCGGGCCTTTACGCGGATACGGATCTGGGCTGCATGGTGAGTCACCAAAGATGCACATCGGTCTTCTCCAGATCACTAATCATTTTTACTTACTATTAGGTTTTTCATGTGTGCGCACTCACGGACGACGGCATGGTGCGTAAATCGTTCCTGTGCCCGGAGAATACGCTCTTCGATCAGACCATATTGAAGTGCAATTGGTGGTTCTATGTCGACTGCAGCTCCAGCACCAGCGTCTACGATTCAAATATACCCATCTCGAAAAGCTATCAGCTGATGAAGTCGCTCACCTATTTCTCCAAGTACAACAACCAGAAGGGCGACCAAGACGGCGACAAGGATGAAAATGCCGTTGACATTGACACGCTGCGCGAGTCCATGGAGGGTGTCTCGCGACGCCTGGAGCAGGCGAAGAATGCGCAAACACAGCTCGATGAGGTGGAACAGCCGTCGCAGCCAAAGGCCGAACATGAGCATGTTGTGCCCGAGGGCGAGAGCCAGCAGCAGTTGTCCAACTAGGCTAAGACCATATTTAGTTGCTATCTGAGATCTAGGTTAAGTTAAGTTCAAGATCGAGCGTCTCTGGTCGATTTGCCGTACATAGTCAATGTCTTGCGAAAGCCAACGGTTGTATGTAGTCTCTGGCCAATCATTAATCCTCATTTCCTATGGCAGCGCCTGGTCCTGGGCGCGCTCCTAGCTGTAGTCCCTACCCCACATAGCTATCATTAAGTGGATCATTTCTAGCTTATTTAACTACGTAATCTAGTGCAATTCTAAGTGTTTGTGTGACTTGTGCGGTTAGTTTTACGTTCATAATACTATTTATTTATTATATTTTTGCGACAAAATAAAAAAATCGTTATCTCCATAAAAATTGTATTTTAATCGGCACACATTCGGTTAGGTTGAAATTTAACTATTAACTGGAATAGAAAACGTCCTCCTAATGCTTCCTTTCACGTGCGCAGTGGTAAGAATATCTTTAAGAAAGCCTAAATGCGAAAAAATTGAATAGCAGACAGTAATAAAAAAATACATTATGATATTAATTGAACTGAGTGAGAGGTTTAACGCTGATTAGATGCAGATTGTAATTATCAAAAATATTAATTGTATATAAATATTAAATATTATTTGCAAAAATGTTCTGTTAGATTAAGCTTACTTCACATAATAAGTCCAAGAAAAGATTTTTTTCAGCATTTGTCAACTTTAAGTTTGATTAATTTAAAGTTTTATTTGCGCAGAGCTTTTAGAGCAATTGGAAGCTTTAATAAAGATTATTTTTGTTGCATAGATTTAATGTTCTATAAGATTCACATTTCTTTAAAGTATTCCAATAGCAAGTCATTGAACAGAGCCTTAAGACCAAATGTGAGCTTTAAAGGTGATTTAATTAAAATTTTGTAATAACTTTAAAGTAACGACTTCTTGATAAACTTGTAACTGTATATTTTATACCCTGAACCCATTAAAAATGGGTAAAAAGGGTATATTGTATTTGTGCAAAATTTATGTAACAGGCAGAATGAAGCATCTCCGACCCCATAAAGTATATATATTCTTGATCAGCATCAATAGCCGAGTCGATCTAGCCATGTCCGTCTGTCTGTCTGTCCGTCTGTCCGTATGTTTGAATGCAAGGATCTTAGAGTCTATAAGAGGTGGAGACATGAAATTTTAGATGGTCCTCCTAGTGCCTGCGCTGATCGAGTTTGTTTCCGATAATCGATAACTTGCCCCATTTCCAAGTAATCGATCAAAATCTATATCGAAATCCTGTTTTTTGGGCAATTTTTGTAAATAATAAGAGCTAGAGTCACCAAACTTGATATATAGCTTCTAAAATAGTATATATATTTGCATTTGGTGTTGGAAGAAGCGGGTTCAGGTTATCCCCCAGTCGGGAGCTCCCGACTAGAACCTCTTACTTGTTATATATTATTTTGTTGAATTAATCTTGTGCATAATCATCATTTCAAGTACAAAGCCTTCCGATTGCAAAAACCCCAATGGTTTTCGAATCTGTATCTAAGATAGTTTTCTTCACTAGAATTGGAATTGACATTATCAACCAAATTATACTTACAGTCGACTAGACTTCCAATGACTCTATAAGGCTCAATATAACCTAAAAGTGGTCTGATTTTATTAACGAACTCTCCAAACGCCAGACAAAAAAAATAAATATGTTATTTGAGTTAAACTTAAGTTAAATGCTGACCGCTGACCGTGGCCAAGAGACCGTTAGGCAGCCTGGTGGGGGCCTGTCCTACGACCGCTTGCGTTTGTGTGCAGACGCCGCCGACTCCTCCTCTAGATTGCGGTCGCTCTTGTCGTGAATATGAACCGTTTCGCTGAGCTCGACGTTGGCGTGCAGCGCCGCATCGTTGGCATTTAGATGCGCCTCCTGGGCGGAGAGTGTTGCCTTCTCAGCCGCCTCGCGTGTTTCCTCGTAGTCTAGACGCGCCGCATAGGCCTGCGATTCGGTCTGCTCCAGTTTGCTCTTGGCCTGGGCGACCATATCGATTTGTGATGACAGCTCGGCGGCTGCCTCAGCGGCCGCCTTCTGGGCCAGCTCTGAGGCGGACTGTGCATTGTTTAGCGCAGCAGTTAGGACGCTTACATGGTTGATCGCCTGCTGGGCGGCATACTGTGCTGCCTTGGCGGAGCGTTTGGCCTGCTGCAGTTGGGTTAGCTCAGACTCCACGGCCTTGTGCGCCTCAACAATCTGCTCCTCCAGGCGGCGCAGCAGCACCTCCCGGCCCTTCAGTACGGCAACAGCTGTGCCCGCTGCTTGAGCGGCTGCCTGAGCCAGTGTGCTCTTGGCCACATAAGAGGCCTGCTTGCCAGCCGCATTCTGACTGGCCACGGCCGAGCTGGCTTGATCCGCTGAGCCTTTGGCAATGCTGCGCAGGCCATTGTCCACCAGGTAACCTCCGCTACCGCTGCTGCTGCCACTGCCACTGCTGTGACCGCTGTGCGAAATATAATCGGAATTCTCATAATGTGCGCTCAGCTGGGGATGTTGTGGTGCCTCAAACTCATCGTGGTTGATTGCTTCGAATGTGTACGGCGGCACCTCATGATCGATAACAACCGTTTGCGCGGATGCTGCAGTTTTTTGTGGCAACGGGGGCGGCGGTGGTGGCACATTCAAATGGTAATGGGCATCCTTTCGTTTCACCTTGCGTCCAAATGCTGGCACCTCACCTGTGTAGCCGGAACGAAAGCAGTTCCATTGAATTCTCATATGCAAATCGTGCGCCCAAAACTTACCAAACAGCAGCAGCAACAACAATAAATGCAACATCAGTGACATCTCCAGAGTTTCTGTTTATGCAACGTGGTGGCTGCTGTGAATACGAAACAAACGTTTTTTATATAATCGGATGGCAGACAGGAAGCAGTGGCTGCTGCAGGTGCACGCTGTTCCTGTGGCAAGTCTATGGACGGCTTATCGAAAGTTTGGTCGAGGGGTTGGGCCAAGAGTGCCTCAAGGCAAACTCACAGTTTTCCCAACTACCAAAACCGGTAGAGGTAACGGCTTTTGAAAATTTATTGACGGGTTTAACCTTTAAAAAGTCTGTTCGTTGAGTCTTGGTGTAATAATGTAACTTAATTCACGTGACCTCGCTAAGGTCAATAAATAAAATTATTGCTACAATTTCAGCTATTGATTTTTTTATTTAAACTGAACTTAGCTGACTCGAGGATAGATAAATTTAGCTTAGATCAGTCTTTAAGAAAAAAAAATGAAAAATTTATCAACTTAATAAAAAATGTCAAATGCCAACAAAGAAACCAGATTGTACTGCAGTATTTTCAGAGAGCTTCTTTAATTTACAAATCTTATGTTGTCCACAAGAAATCAAGTTAGATTGCAAAATGTTGCAGATGCTGTAATCCAAACACCATTAAGTAGTCCAATCAACAGTTAGCAACAGAGTTATGTGGAAGCCAAATACAAGCCTTCCTTATATGCAATCAGAGAAATTCTAGAATTTCATCTTGGCCATTAACTGTGTCAGTCAGCTTTGGCAGCGATTGGGAGAGCAGAACCAGTTTACTTTTAAGGCCAGCACCACTGCAGCCACCTTGCAACACACACACACACAAGCACACAGGCACGCAAAACTGGACAGTGGCAACTGGAGGCAACATTTTGAAAGACAGTAATCACTCAATTTGACAGATATCCACACTGCACTTGCACAAACTCGAGCGGCTCGTTGCCCTGTGGACACTTACACGACAGTTTCGGGTGGTGCGCGTTGTCAGAGAGGACGTCCTGCCTGGTGCACAGGCGAAACGTATCTAATGCGCGGTCAGCGCTTGAATGCCACACTAGTTGGTTCAAAGTCGATCGGTGGGTTCGTTGGAAAACGCTTTTACTTTCGTGTTGCAGCCAACGGAAATGCAACAAAAGCCCCCGCTTGTAGATCCGGTAAACACACGTTGTCAATTGGCGGCGGGCGCCTGGAAGCGGCAGGCATTTATAAGCCAAGTGGCTGGTCGGGTTGGGCGCGTCTCCAGCGGCGACCCGCTCGAGTCGTGTGCAATGAAAGTGCAAACCCGTTGCCCGTTTACTTTATGAGTTTGCAATGCAACGCAAATTGCTCCGCTTTGTTGGCGAAAAACAACAGCAGCATAAACAACAACAACAACAACAGCAACAATAACAACTACTGGCCGGGTCATTGCTTTCTTGCTGGACCATTGGGTAATTTGAAGCTGCTCGCGTGATGATGGTAGCGTATTTTTTAATTGCTTTGCAACGATTTAAACAATAGCTCAAAACTACATATTGAATATGACATCTGCCAGATATCAACGCGTACATATGTATTTGCACAAGGAAGTAGCACGTGTCCAGGTCAGGCAATTTATGTAATTTTAACTACCTGATTAACATACACACGGATAAATATTTTAGTGACAGAAAATGAGAGAGTGGAAGAGTTTTTTGGATTTCCAACACATGTGCTATGTCTTACGTGAATTTATGAGAATCGCTTAGAAGGGCAATTTTAAAAAAAATAGATCAACTTCCTGCAGAGTGTTAAATATGTTTGAAATATCCCATAAAGATTTAGGTATATTAAATATAATTGATCAGCCAACATGGTTTATTGGCATAATTATGGAATACATAACGAAGCTAATTGATTTAATCGTAAACTACTTCCAGAACTTCTTCATGGACATATTACGCTCGGAGTCCTTTTGCATCACCTTGGAAACGGCCATTTCAAAGTCCTCCTGGGTGACATGGACACGACGCTCGCGCAGAGCGTACATGCCAGCCTCAGTACAAACGCCTTTGACCTCGGCGCCGGAAGCACCTGGCATCAGCTCGGCAATCTTGCGAAGATTGATGCCGCGTGTGAGATTCATTTTGCGTGAATGTATATGTAGAATATCAACGCGTGCCTCCTCGCTTGGGGGCGGAAACTCGATTTTACGATCAATGCGACCGGGACGCAGCAGTGCCTGGTCGAGCACATCGATGCGGTTGGTGGCCATGATTACCTTTATGTTCTTGGACGCCTCAAAGCCGTCCAGCTGGTTGAGTAGCTCCAGCATTGTGCGCTGCACTTCCGAATCGGCGCCCCTGCCGGACTCCAAACGTGCCGAGCCAATTGAATCAATCTCGTCCATGAATATGATGGATGGCGCATGCTCCCGAGCCATGACAAACAGCTCACGCACCATACGTGAACCCTCACCAATGTATTTCTGTACCAGCTCCGAGCCAGAGACACGTATGAATGTGCATTCGGTGTGATGGGCGACGGCGCGGGCCAGTAGAGTCTTTCCAGTGCCAGGTGGTCCATACAGCAGCACGCCCTTGGGCTGGGCAATCCCCAAGGCATCGAACAGCTCGGGATGTTTGATGGGCAGCTCAATGACTTCTTTGATTTCCGTGATTTGCTTGGACAAACCGCCCACCATTTCATAGGTGGAGTCGGGCACCTTTTCGACCATCATCAGTGAGACAAGTGGATCGACCTTGTTTGGCAAAATCTTATGCAGAGTATAGCTATCGTGGCGCAGGGCCACACGGCTATTGGTGGTCACATCGTTGATGTCAATATTCTTCTCTACATCGACAACGTATTTGCCATCGTGATGCACCTTAACCAACACCTTTTTCTTATCAATCGGCTTGACAACCTCGCCAACATAGCTGCCCTGCTCCTGCAACAGCTGCAGCTCCTCACGCAGCATACGCACTGCAGCAGGGGAGTAAAGGGTAGTTGGCATTGGCAGCTCAATTATTTCACTTACCTTTGGAATTCAGCTCATTCCGCTGCGCCTCCAGACGCTGTAGATTACGCTGCTTCTCGGAGACTATAAACTGCAATTCGGCGATTTTTTGCTCAAAGAATGAGCTGAGCCCGTCCCCTTGTTTATCATTAGGTGGCTGCTTCGCACCTTCAATTTCCATCTGCATTTTTCAAAAATCATAATAGCATATATTCCAATTCCTTATTAAAAACTCACCGGTACTGACATTTTAAAATGTTTTTCTTACGAAATTTTCTCAAAATGAATAAAAAGCTATACACGAGCCGTTTGTCGTCGCTTTGTATGCTTTTATGATTTTTGTTTATATGAGACGGCAGTTTTTAATGTCAGTGTTGGAAAACGTTTGCACTGTGTGATTCCTGTCATGCTGAAGTTAGTGCTTAAAAATGCTTCTTTCCGAACACGGTAGGTTTTGTTCGTGTTACAGTAGAACCTCGATTATGCGTGCTGCTCAACATAAACAATCAAATATGTTTTTTTCTGTATAAGAAGAACATGAATATCTGTTTAATAGAGTTAATTCACGGTGCTTGATCAAATGCTTGGCGTTCCAAAATATGTTCCCGTTTAATGTATTTCCGTATAATGTTAGCGTAATTTTATATTGAAAAAAGGAAGTTAACAACGTCAAAACATTAAACTTTTTTAATGTGCTTTGTATTATTAAAAGCTAACAAAAGCATTATTTTAAATTGTTTTGATATGACGAGTATTTTGTCTCTTGCATGAGAATAACTATTTTGCTCACTTTAATGCAAGTCAGCTGCATACTAAGCCGAACCACAGTCAATTGAATGACGATTTTCTTAAACAGCCACAAAGTATGTTATATTTTGTGCATAACATGTTTTAATATGACGCAAAAATTTGAAGATGTATGGGTTTTGATTATTATATGCTTTTTTTTAAATATTTTTTTATTAAACATTTTGAAAATTTTGATAATATTGAATTCGTGACAAACAAGAGTTGTTGCCAAAGTTAAAAGGAACCAGACACAATTTTTTCTAGTTTGCGCAAATAAGACTTTAGGAGCACCTATAGAAATCGCGCTCTTCAATGACTTAGGCATGCCCATTACCGCTGCCAATGACGCAACAGTCAGAAACTATATAAAATATAAAGTGCTCACGACTTAATAGGTTTGAGTTATCCACAAACAGAAATTTCGCACATACGTATGTAGGAGCTAAAAGGTATTATCTAATCGAGAATAATGCATTGCTCGGGCTTTTCATGGTTCGTCAATAAATTTGCTGGCTGGATCAATGTGAAATCACGTCGCGTCAATTGTTATTGGGAAAGTCTTAAATCTGTGCAATTTGTTGATAAGATATATTGTAAGGCAGGCGATGTTTAAATATGGAAACAGCAACCAAATGCTAGTGAAAGCCGATGTGCCACATAGATTGCTGTAAATAACAACTTTAAGTATTCCAATATTTTTGTGTTATATTTAAGTATAGGTATAATTGTTTAATACTATGCACAGCAATCAAGATAGATAACAATGAGGTGCAAAAATTTTGATTTTGTTCAACAAAATTCACAGCATTTTGCCAGAAATCAAATTCACAAGCGAATAAATAATGATGGATTGCTTCAACTTAAATGCTAATTAAATTTACGGAAAATAATATTTGACTATTTGGCTGGACTGTTGATAATGATGTTGGTGACTTATGCGTGGGTTTCCATTCGTATTTTGTCTCCTCTTCTTTTCATTATAATATTTTTTGCCTATAAAGAGCGAAACAAGTCGCTGGCCTTGCCAAAGCATGCAAAATTAATCTAGCAGAGTTTTTGTGAAATAAATACAAAGACTTAAATTAATCTAAGACTAATCGAGGTTATGTCGTCTTCTCGCCCAACTTGGCATGCAGTGTGCTAATATCGTATATAGCCACTAGATCTTTGTTTAGGCCCTCAAATACCTGAGCGACACGCGGCTGCAGATTGTAAAAGAACAGCGGCTGCTGACGCTGTGCAAAATCCATGACCATAGTCGATATGACCTTGGCGGCAGTGAAGTCTGCTCCATAGATATGCGTACAATCGATGACAACCGGCAGCGTCGACTTGACGCCCTGTTTGTTAATCACCTTCCGCACAAACTCCATTGATGGAAAGATGAGGCAGCGATCCGGCGTAAGCATTAGATAACGCTGGCCATCGGGTGTCTGCAAACGGTAGGAGATTCGGTTAGCAAGGCGTGTAGGAAGGCACATCATCTGGCTACTTACGCTGAGCGTTTCAATGCGCAGCTTGGGACGCGCCGCCTGGTACAGAATGAAAATCACATTGATGCCAATGCCCACTAGGATGCCCAGCTGCAGCGGCATTACCAGGCAGGCAAAGAAGGCGCCCAAGCCAGGTATTAAATCCGTTTCTATAGAGAAAGAGAGAGAGCAGAGGAGCAGGAGTCAAATTTTGGCTAAAGTTCGGCATTTCCGCTTGTGACTACTCACTTTTGCTATGCCACATGGGCTTGATGACACGATACTGCACCATGAACACGACCGCAGCTATGATAATGGCTGCCAGCGCCGCCTTGGGTATATAGTAGAAGCAGGGCGTGAGGTAGAGCAGCGCAATGATGACTATGACGCTGGTGTAGAGATTGGATAGCTGGGTGCGCACACCGCTGGCATTGAGAATGGCGCCTCTCGCCAGGCCGCCATTGCTGCGCAGGCCCTGCACAAAGGAGTTGGCCACATTGCAAATGCCCGAGGCAATTAGCTCCTGGGTGGCATCCGTCGGCTTGCCATCCGCTGCACAGCAGTCAAAAAGTAATTGCCAATTTAATAAAGGGAACTAACCATAAATAAGTACAAAACACCTACCAAATGCCTGCACCACAGCCATCGTCTCGAGCAGCGCTATTAGTGGCACCACAATCAAGCCAGAGCCGAGCGTGCTGACCATGTCCCAGAAGCTCTGCGCCTCCTGCAGCACCTCGCCACTCGTCTCGTTCAGCACAGCGTCCATGTGGAATGGCGGCGATTGAAAATGTGGCAGGCCCTTGGGCACAAAGCCAACAGTGCGCACCAGCTCCTCGTTGCCACTGACGGACAGCCAGTAGCCGAGCGCTGCGGTGCCGCAAACTAGCAGCGCATTGCGTGATGTGCCTACCGTCCAGAAGATGCCCGTGAGCAGCTTCTGGCAGGTGGATTTGTCCTGCTTGGGTCCCACACTGCAGCTGGCCAGGGCGCGTAGGCTGAGCAGCATTACAATACAGATGAGGCCCAGTCCGAAGTCCGGCCAGCTGATGTTGTGTATGTCATTGATAATACTTATCCACACTTGTAGGAAGGTGTTGCCGCTGGTGCTTATGCCCAGCAGATCCTTCATCTGTGAGCTGAAGATGATCAGCGAGACAGCGCTGGTGAAGCCCGCACCCACCGGTCCCGAGACAAAGTCAATGAGAAAACCGAGCCGAAAAACGCCCATCAGTATTTCAATGATGCCAGTGAGAAAGGTGAGCAACGTGGCCATTTGCCAACTGCCGCCGGCAATTTGAAACGAAAGCAGCGCCGAAATCGCAGTCGGACCAATGGGCACATCCTTGCTGGAGCCAATGAATATATAGATGAAGCAGCCCAGAAAACAGGCGTACAGGCCATATTGCAGATCCAGGCCAGCAATGCCCGCATAGGCCAGTGCCTGCGGTATCACAGTAAGGGCCACCGAAATGCCGGCGACAATGTCTCCAAAGATATAATCCTTTTTGTACTGTGGCAGCCAGACGAATATGGGGAAACGTTTCTCCAACGTTTTCCGACGAAATATATTCGCCCAGGTGCTGCGGCAACAGTCCTTCCAGCCGCCCGACAGCGCCTGCTCCTCCTCCTGCTGCACAATGCAGTCGCGTGACGTGTGGTACAGCGTATTGGTGGGTATATCCACGGATACATCAGCGCCATTGAAGGCGCCATTCACATGCCCCGTATCTTTGGCTGTCATCTCAAATGACGTCGTCGACGCAACACTCACACACACACAACACTTATGTGGCGCTGAAAGTTCGAGTATTTGGTTTTTATTGCGCTTTGTTATTTATATTTTTTTTTTGTTTTGTTTTGCTTCTATTTGGCTTTGTCAGCGATGGCTTCATCTACGGCTTCATCTCATTGGCACTGTCACTGTCACTGGCAGCAATCACTTCACTTCTTGCCGGGCCCGAGCACGGAATCCAAGCCGAATACCAAAAGCCAAACTATTCGCGAGCGCGTTAAGTGCGGGAATGAAACGAAATCGAGATCGAGATCGAGCCAGAAGCGGAGGTAACATCAACAGCAGCAGCAGCAGCGCGCAACTGTAGCCGTCGTTTGGAGCGCCGAGCGATTGGGAACTGATTATAAATAGGTGCGAGTCGCGAGTGGCAATCCGCTCGTGTCACCCGGCAGTCGCCGCCCAGCGGCAGCGGCAGCGGCAGCAGCAGCAGCAGCAGCGATATTCGAGACCAACCGCCGGCTTTCGTTAGAGCAGCAAAAACAAAAACAAAATATATAAAAAAAAAACCGGCTTGTGTCTGGGTACTTTTCGTCTGTGGTCTGGTTGTCTCTCGAGTGCTGGGTCGCCGAGTATCGTGTAACAGATCCAATCCGAAGAAATGTTAATTGACGCCTCTTCTGAATGTGGTGTGCGTCTTGTAACCTCACCAGCCCGTGGGGGGGTTCCCAGCAGGTCGACCAGTTAACTGGTGCTGGCATCATTTTAGGGAAAAGCAGGCTTTTCAAGTTTCATACATGCACGTGCTGGGCACAACAACAATGCAAATCCCACTGAGCTGATCGCATTGTAAGCGATTTCACAGCAGCGTCACATGACTGTTCGCAGCGCTCAATCGCCATGAAAGTCCAGCTGTAGAGGCCATAACTTAAAAAATAATAAACACACATATCGGGAAGCTCTTGGCATTCTTGAAATGTATATTATTCTTTTTTTTTTAAATACCATTCTGTGCGGAATGTTGGTATTAGATGACAATTAAATACATAAATAAATTAAGAACTTAATAGGTTGGGAATGCTTCTCTGCTATAAACAATTATACTTACTCTTAAAAATTCCATTTTTGCGTATAATAAATAAATAGGAAATTTTATAGCATGGGAAATTTGAACACTCATATAACGGCTAAAGAAAATAATAGCATATTTGACAAATAGTTGTTAAAATTTTGAAATAACACTAGGCAAATAAACCTAACAAAACAAAACCTTTTCACTTATGTCCGTGAAATTGAATATATATTTAAAGTTCCCATTTACGAAAAGTCATTAATAGCCCTTCAATAAGTGCCCCATTAAAATACCACTTGATAAGTTTTACAGCACTGGAAATCGCGAGGGGAAATTAATTTGCAGGTGGTAGCAGGTGTGGGGGTGGCGGCGGCGGGGGCGGTGTCGGCGCCGACATCATAAAACAAACATTGCAACCGTAAATAAATCAGCTTTGAAGTGCGGCCGCCATAAATCAGTTGTGAATATGGCTAAGATAAAGGCAATTTTTTTTTTTGGGCAAGCTAATCAGAATAATGCGAAAAGCTAACCCTGTCTATCAACTTAGACAGGAAATGTTTTGTATTTCGTTTTAATATATATGAATAACATAATATTAATTAGCCAAAGATGTCGCTTGCCGATGCCCCGCTTAGTTCGATGATTCTTCCGTATCTCGAACTCGGCTTGGAATTATTGCATTTGCATGCAAAAAGATTAATTAGTTTGCAGAATTCACGACCTGCTTAATATAGCAATTGGATTGCGGGGGTTTCACGATGGGGTTTTCCTCAATGCTAAGCGCATTAACTTATGCAGGTCGTGTGTAGGCTGAGCTATGATAAATTGTGTCGGGGGAAATGCTGGAAAGAATATTTTTGAACTTTTGTCGGGAACTGCCTTTACAATAATAATATAATTATTGATGGAAAAGTACGTTAATTTGTAACCTACAATTTATTTTAGATAAATGGCCCCCCAAGCAGGCAATCAATCAAATATAATAAAAAGCACGCAGACCCGCACACATCTAAGCAGACACAACACACACACCCACACCCACACACACACACACACTGAAGAGCAGCAGCCAAGCTTGGAAAGCACGTGTTGAACGCCTGATAAAAGTGGCGTTGAAGCAAAACATGAGAAATCTTTAAAATAACAAATGCGAACGCAAAACAAAAAAACATAAAAACAATCATCGAAATGTGTCTGCTGATTATATCATGCCGAATGCCAAATACACTATTTTCTCATAATTATAATAGAGTCGATTCAGGAAATGTTGCTTAAATTTTAAACAATATGGAAATTAATTAAAGCGAAAAACGTTTCGCACTAAAATCAAGAAAGAAGCGCATGTTTCCTGCACATCGAAGATTAAATACTCTTGTAGACAGACATTTGCCATTGCAGTGCTTTATTTCCGATCGGGTTTTCCCATGGCAGCGATATGATATGGAAGTCTCAGTTAATACGGCTTTCCAAAGTTTGAGCTTTGCTAAAGATAGCTTTTAAAAGAAAACGTTAACACAAAAACTCATTTATTGACCGCTGTATCATATATATACGTAGTCCAATGGCGATAAGATTTTGCTAATATATATATATAAGGAGCATGGTGAAACTCGAAAGTGCAAAGTTTGATTAAGGCAACTCGAAACACAAAAAGGGAACTTAAGTTTCGAGCGTCAGCTTTATGATTTATTGCTCCGTTCCGTTTGCCAAGAAACAAACAGACGAACTTGATTAAATTGACTTGACTCAGGAATATATATACTTTACAGACTCAATGACGTGTCCTTCTTGGCGTTACATATTGAATAACAGAATTATAATACCCTTTACAAGTCTGACAAACAACAAAAGGTATTTGAATCATGTCATGATTGGCTCAAAATTGCAAATTAATGGGTAATATTTTAAGCAGTATGGAAATTAAAGCGAAACATATTTTGGCTTGTGAAAAAAGGGAAATCTCTCTAGAACTAGCCAAACAGGTAACTGTGGCTAATGTGAACATATGTGTAAGTTGAATGTTGAATGTCTATAAAAACAACTTATATAACAAATCAATTTAGACAAATTGACAAAATGCGTTGTCATCATTGTTGACTGCTTTGCAAGTTATTAACCCTAATTATGGCATTGCTGAAATACTTTTCGAATACTTTCTGAATGCTGTCCGAGCACTTTGTGAATGTACATGAATATGCATCGCATAGGGCTGTAGAATTGTGCTTTTAGCCTTACGGGCATTCACAGTCACAGCCGCATTGTGATTTATTAAAAGCAATATAATAATATTTTATATTTCACGTATTCGCAACTTTCGTGCGGTCAGATTACGTTGCTCATACGACGCGTTGGCCGTGCCGCGGACTAAGTGAGTGAGAGGCGCAAATTAAATATTGAATAACAATTAAATGTGCATATCTAACTGTGAATCACTAAAAACAATTCGCAATAAAATACATTTAATTGCAATTTCGTTGGCGTGATGCTAATTATATTTCTCATGCCCAGCGTCAAAGTCGCAGCTCGAAATTGAAAGCTGTCCAGAAATTTCTCACAGCAATTAGCAGATAAATCAAAACGGCAATGGGCCAAAAATATATGTATAGCCCGAAAATATGCTTTTATAGTGCCGCCGTAAAAGATCATTAAGCCCAAATTAGTACCCTTGATATGTAAGTGGCACACGTGCGATTTGATGTGGCATGCAACTGATTAGTATCTGTCATCACAAGGCCCATCGATGGGAGCTGGGCTGGGCTGGGCTGGTAGACAATTTGTATGCACTTCGGCTGCATATTTGCTCACTTTTTATGGGGTTCACGTAACGCCGGACAAAAGTAACTGTAACTCCAGTAAACACAAACAATTGTGCCAACAGAGCACCAAGTCAGCTGATCATTATAATCGCAATCATGAGCACGACTAAGTTAGCGAGTCAAATAAAACTGTTAATTGTGCTGGCGATTAATTCAAACAATATCAACATGCATAAATAGCAGCAGCAGCAGCAGCAGCAACGACTATCACAATGGCATCAACTAGGCCCACAGATTGCGGGTTATGCAATCGGAGCAAGCATTCGCTCGAGTGCAGTGGAATGCATTGAGGCATGTAAATTAGTTGTCGCGAGGCTTCACGTGACTCACCGGCTGTCTATAACAATATCGGATAAACATATTTAACTCGGCTTAAATACGTATCTCAATGCAATATCGATGATCGTGTTATGCAATTCGCCGGCGATTCGTAGGCTTTGAGGAAATCACACACCACACAGTGACACCTTACATTATTTAAGGCCCGAAATGCGTGTCAGGGTCTACAGCTTGGACCAAGTTCAATGGCAGCGATAATAATAAATACGAATTATTAACCAAATGTCGTAGCTGTTCCGGTTGCTTTCGTAGGCTGCTGTTAACTAATGGCAAATGCTCAGCTCTAAACATTTTATTTTTGCAGATTTTTATTATTTTTATTTAAACGAATGCGTCAGCAAAGCGCCGAAATCTTGGCCCAAACACTGTCTGGCCTTAACGAGCATTCGTAATCATCAGCTTCGCGTTGTTTACAATCTTTGTATCACTGTGCATCCCCGCTGGCCGCAAATGTTGCTGAATTGATTCGATCACATGACTGAATCCAATTGGCGACAGCTGAGAAGAGCAAAAACTGGATACCCAAGCATATTTGTACCATGGCGCATTTTGGGTAGTCAGTCTCATTGATAAATGAATGCAACATTTGCCGAATGGAAGGTTTTCTCAACAAGTTTTCTGACTTGCAATGCGACAGGTCAAGATTAAAGTTCATTGAACCGATGCGAGTTCTTTGTGCTTTGTCTGCTTTGCACTTTCTTAAAAACTGAACACCCCTGTTTGTTTGTTTGTTTGGATCTAATGTAAACCTCATTTTGCCCCAGCCATAAAAAAAGTTATCAGAGCCAATAAAAAGCGACAATTAAAAACGTAATGAAAGCTAAATGCGTTTTGTTTCTTGTTGTGTTTGCAAATACGAAAGAATATTGCTGCAGCTTTGAAGACCTCTTTTTATCTGATTCAATTGAATTTAGTCCGATCTATAAGAAATAGTAAATTATTAAACATTTTTGTGGTATATTTTCATAAATACGAAAATGTGTTTTTAATTATCTTAAGTACTGAGTACCCCTAAGTGTTTGGTTGAATCAAATGTAAGACTCATTTCGGCCGAACCACAAAAAAAATAAATGTGCCGAAAAAAAACTAAAATAAAAAAAGAACGTCATGAAAGTTAAATGCGTGTTGCCTTTTGTTGCGATCACAAATTGTTAAAAATTATTTTGTTTATTATATTAACGTAATTTCCTGATAAAATTAGCCAAATCGGATTAGGCCACTTGGCTAGTTTTAATGCCAGCCGCGTTCGCTTTGAACAGACCGAGTGCTAAATGGCGCTAAGCCGCGCTCATTCAGCCAATTTATGAGCACACAAATATCGTGCTAATGAATTGCCAACAAGCAACATGAATTAGCAACAAATCAATTGTGAGTGATAGTGGAAAAAACTAACAATATGAAAACAAGCGACGCGCCGCAGCGACAGCTCACAACATTGCTTTGAGCCATTAATGGGCCACTGATAAAAAAAAAAACAATAAAAATATTCTGATATTTAGACACAGGAATATTTTCTATAACAAACAGTACGTACAGCTCTGACATTTGGGCTATTAACTTTGATGGGCCAGCTAATCAATATGCTAAACACTATGCAGTTTACGGAAATTACATTGAAACATCCAAAGCGGGGTTCAATGCACGCCACTGCGGCAACTGGGCGACGGGGCGTATGCGCAACGTGGCCAACAGCGCTTTAGCCATTTTTTTTTTTACTTGAGTTGAGTTGAGTTGATTGCGTGACGTTGGGCCGCTTCACGTGAGACAAGACAGCACAATAGCTCTGGTTAAACTATGAAATTTATGCAGCACATTTACAATTTTTAAATGACACAAGGTGCTGCCAAATGTACACAAATTTGCATTTTTAAGTGGTCTGTAGTCAAGTTAATTTCAATTGTCTCTAAGCCCTTAACACCACGTTGGCATAAACGTTTTTATGCCCACGGGCCTAAATTGCTTTTAGCATCTGCTGTGCAAATAAACAACAAGCACGCGGCTTTTAATTCGTTAGAATCTGGCCAGATAATTTGTAGCATCAACTGACGCATTGTTGAAGGTTCTGTCTGAGTTTTTGGTAACTTTGTTTTGGCATTTTGTAGAGCAAATAGTTGGTTAGCTTATCGCCTGACCTCCTGCTAGACAAACATGCGCTAAGATATATCAGATTTCAGTAAGATCTGCCACTAAGCATGTAAACATCTAAGCAAGTGACAGTTAGCGCAAGTAAATAACAATTTCATTTTGCAACTCTTTTTAAACGTATTTTATTTTTATTATAGCTTGACCTTAGAGGCGCCAAACTCAACTGACTTCCTGTTGGGCTAACAAACACTATGCACTATGATATAGTAGACTTGACTGCAAAATCCAGAAAAAACAAGTACAAGGTTCTAGTCGGGAGCTCCCGACTTGGGGATACCCTGAACCCTCTCCTTCCAACATCAAATGCATATATTCTATTTTAGAAGCAATATGTCAACTTTGCCCAAAAAACAGGATTTTTATCGATTGCTTGAAAACGGAGTAAGTTATCGATTATCGGAAACAAACTCGATCTGCGCGGGAACTAGGAGCATCTACATCTAAAATTTCAGTCTCTAGCTCTTATATGTTCTGAGATCCTTGCGTTCATACATACGAACGGACAGACAGACGGACATGGCTAGATCGACTCGTCTATTGATGCTGATCAAGAATATATATACTTTATGGGGTCGCAGATGCTCCCTTCTGCCTGTTACATACATTTGGATTTTGCACAAATACAATATACCCTTATACCAATTTTTAATGGGTTCAGGGTATAAAAAGTAGATAAATTGTTCGATTCAAATTTTGCTTTGAGGTTTTTTCTCTGAACCAGGTATATTCCCAGGCTTTGGGTTGAATAATGATTTGCCACATTTTTTCCCATTTTAAACACAACAAAGCTGAAAGTTGAAATTTACAACAAAGCATCTGGAATTGTTAACTAGAATATCTTCAATGCAATGTTGTACTTAGTTCAGATTATATGACCTTATTAATATATTCTAGTAAATTTTGACTTAGATCCGACTATATAAATATTATATTAAAGTCTAATATAATAAAGTTATTTATACTGAGCACACAATAAGACAAATTAAAATTTAAAGATAGCTTTTTTAATATGGTTCAGTTAATAAAAAAAAATCGCTTTGTAACCATGATTTTTTCTTAATTTGGAATTTTGGTTGGGTAAAATACCAGCTAAATTAAGACAAGTTTAAGAAAATAAATAAATTATATGTATACGTGTTCTTTTTAAAATGCGTTGTGACTTTCGAGCAGAGAAAAACCCAAGTGAAGCTGTAAATCTTAAGTCACAATATTTCTGCCATATTGTTTTTACAAGGTGTCCATTTATTGCCACACCGCCCAGACATTGTTCAGATACGTAATCAGTTGAGGTTGTTTGCTGCATTTTTTTTTTTTTTTTTTTTGTAATATCACAAGACACTATGTAGATTTATATATTTTTGCATTTTCTTAGCATATTTAACACTCGTTCTGTTTGCTGCAAATATTTATTAGCGTCTCTTGCTGTGCAAGTTGGCGAACAACTAAGCGCAGCCCTTAGTTGGCCTCATGTTTAATTTATGAGGCGTGTACAATCACAATATTTGTAATTTTAATTAACACACACACACACACACACACAACCACAACAGACACACGGCTAGATCACGTCATGAGTTTAATCATAACGGGAATTGCATGTCTCGAAATTGCATTGTTGATAGTCTGTAATCTTATCAGGCTGTTCTCATTTCCGTAACGCACTTCAAAAACACGCGCCCAAATATTTGCTCAAATATCTTTTATGAAGCACATCTGTCAGCCGCTGTAATACTTTATTGTGTTTGCCAAATGTCAAATTTGCTTATACAATAGATAACAAATACTTAAAGGGAGCAAAAAAAAAAAACAAAAGATGAAACCTAATACAGTTTACAAAGGTGGCAAAATTATTTGACAAACTGATTTATGCCGCATTTGCCCACTCAATTAAAATTTATTATTAATTTTGTTTAGTTTGTTGTATAAATGTGGCCAGAAAAAAACCTAATTGCTCATAATGAACACAAAATTATGCGACTTAACAATTTATGGCTACAATTAAATTGTGTACCAATTAAACTTTTTATGATAATTATAAATTTAAATAAAAAATACGATTGGCTGCGATTAGCCATTGCCAATAAATGTTAACAATTAATGGGAATAAGTGTCGCATTTCCGCCAAAATGGACTTAATTGACTTTTGGCTAACTGGCCAAGTTAACAATGGCCATTAATTGTTAAACTTTAGCTATGCAAAATGTTGATTAGCTCTGTTTGTATTTGTATTTGCATTTTATAGGCTGCCAAGTACCTGGCTGGCAACTTGCACAGCTTGTAGGCTGTTTACCTTATCAGTTAGCACACATATAAAATTGGTTCTGTTTGTATTTCAAATAAGTTAAGATGGTGTTAAAATGTTGTAGGGCTTACTCATTCACATATGTACGAAAACTTTACGTTTGACCATGCTGTGTTTTGTGTCTCGGCCAAAAAGTATGCAACGAAAAGTAAAAAGAGTTCATAAATTAAAATTAAAATTTTATTTGCATATTAATTACAATATATAAGAGTTCGCCAATTTTAAAGCATATTTCGTTTTATTTGAGCAGCCGCACGTAGAGGGCGGTTTATAATAGTTTCTGTTTAATAAAATTAAAGCGGGGTAGGGCGGGGTAAACAAACAATATAAAGAAGATGCAACTTCCATGAAGCTACTACACTGGCTAGCGACCATTTGTGACACAGTACATGAGTGATGTGTGTGTGAGAGTGGGTGTGTGTGTCGATGAGTGTGCATGTAGGTGCGAGCAGACGCATCCTTAATCCTCTAGCGTTACATTACGAAACAGATACGACATTGACTCCTTGTTGTGTATGCGGCGTATGGCCTCAGCGATCAGTATCGATATATCAATAGTCTTTATCTTGTTGCATTGCAACTTCTGTACCTCATGTGGAATGGTATTGGTGACAACGATCTGCATGATGGAACATAACGATATTAGTTTGTGAATTCAACAGCGTTAAACTTTCGATACGCACCTCATCTATGACCGACTCCTCGAGCAGACGCGGGGCATCCGAGCTGAGCAGACCGTGCGTGGCCAGCACGTATATTTTGCAGGCACCATTATCCTTTAGCATTTCGGCGGCGGCCACAAATGCTTGCACATCATCGATCAGATCGTCCTGCAGAGTATAAACAATCAGATACCTATAAAGTTAGTTTTTAGCACTAATACATACCACCATAATGGCAATGCGTCCATTCACATCGCCCACAATTGTGAGCGGCGGCTTGACTTTGACCGGATGCTCCGGCACACCCACCGATACGGAGGTGGTGCGCTGGCGGCTACTACTGGGTGCATGTTGTGGAGTAGAGTTTCTGGTTAATAGTGTGGCAGTTGACATTTTTTGGCATTTTATTGTGCAGAGTAGTTGTGTGTGGATGGCGTGTGCAGATGTTTTGTGGTGTGGTGCGTTGTTGTAGTAGCAATTGTTGTTGTTGTTGTCGATATTGAAACCAAAAAAGAAAAATGACAGTACATATACAATTCGCGTTTCAGTATAAACTAAACAAATTAACAGTGTTACATATTTGTATATAAAATACAAACCTAGACGCCGTTGGTATGCACATTTCAACAGAATTTCCTAATATATTGCAATACGCCCTGCATAAATAAAGAGAATGATATTGTTTTCGTTTTCGCTCAATGCTAAACGCACCGGAATTTGCATAGACGGCAATAAAATTGCCAACATGCGTAAAAGCAATTACAGCCGATTCGGTCAAAAAAATACAACATAACGAAAGCTATAGCTGAAGGTAATTGCCTCAATGCATCTGTTGTCGGTGAAGTACGAATGGACAACAATTACAAAAGTTCAAGGCGAGTTGAAGAGAGTGCGGTAAGCTTGCTCTACACATGGCATGGTTCGTGCTTGATATCAATGTCAATGGAATCTTAATTAAATGAATGGCAAAAATAGCTTATGTAACAAAGTGTTATTGGGCAATTCCAGAGCGACGCACATGATAGTCGTACGTTTTCAATATCATTTATGATAAACTTTCCGTTTCAAGCTTTGCCTTTTGAATGACACTCAAATGACAATTTGTTAATTGTGAAACGCTGTTAACAAAATGTTTCTAGCAAAGAACATGTAAAGCATAGAAATAAGGAGTGTCAGTTGACCGCGACGGCCATTTCTGCCTGGGACACACAAGTAAACAAATTCACTTTATAAAGAATGCTGGGAGACAAACTGTTTACCCAGATGCTGGACAGCGTATGTGTGTAAGACTTGTCTTCGTCTAAGCAGAGGTTTACTGATATTTGACTGACCTGTCAGGTTGGCGAACATCAGTCTTTAATCATCTCTTCGAAAGTTAATACGCGACGGAAAGTACATGTGCTTCTCGTGTATAAAATCAATTTTATGAAGCACAATCTGACAAACATGCTACTCTAACGTATTTTTTGTATTCCTTAATTTTATTTCATATAAAAGTCATTGAAAAACATTATATGACAGAAAGGGTAGGGTTTTATTATTCTATTTTTAATTTTTTTCTCTTTGGATTTTGTTGTTCTATTGCAAAATTTGATTAGCTGCCAGTACTTTGAAATAAAAGCTTTTGGGAATATTGTCGCAACAAACTTTGAACACAGCAATCAAAAAAAATATTTCGATTTTAATCACGTAAGAGCTGCTGCTGGAAATGCCCATATGTATGTGTGCAAATGTGTGAGCTGCTGTTGATTCCAAGTACAATATGTCAAGAGCCGAAAACAGTGACAACTGCTGTATTTTGGAAGTACAAAGTCGAGTCACAGCTTAATCTCAAAACTTCTAGCTAAAGACAACAAACATATTCAATCGCGCCTTAGAGCTACATTCAAGTATAAACAAAGAGCTAGCTACTTAGCATATACACAATGCTTGGTGGGAATGATGGAGCGAATCATATACAAATGCACATATTTCGCATAACATTTTTATTATGTGTTTTGCAAAAAACATAAACAAAAAATGATTTACGCTTGAGTTTCAGTCATAACAAGAAGATCAAGAGCCAAATAAAATACATAAATAACAAAGACGAACTGGCTGGGGGGCAGAGTAAAAGGCTTGGTTAGCTTGGAGACTCACCTGGTGGGCGGTGGCGAGTATCTGCCGTCGACTTCATCGCTCTCAGCCTCCTTCTGTTCGCCGTGTATGACAGCCAAGCCGAGGCGCAACCGTTCCGCATACGAATTAGCCTTTTTGGCAACTCCCGGATTGCGTGCCACAATCACCGAGTTGCGGTAGTCGGGTATCTAAAGTGTAGTCAAAACAAATCGGTTAGATAGATATATATGTAGACACTATTGCCTCCCACTCACGCTCTCCTGTATGTACTGCAGCAAAAAGGGCGAGGCGCGCAAATTATCAACGGGTATATCGAAGAAGCCTTGAATTTCCTTCTGATGCAGATCCATGGTTATGATGTGCGTGAGTCCTGAGGTGCACATCATTTTGGCCAGCAGTTTGGACACAATGCAGCCGCGTTTGCGCATCTTGCACTGTTTCGAGTACGGCAAATAGGGTATGACACCGACAATAGAGCGAGCCGAGGATGTCTTGCAGGCATAGGCCATAATGAGCAGCTCCATGATATTGTTGTTGGCATCCCTGTTGGGAAAAATATAAAGATTTACTTATGCACTACAGTTTGTAGATAGTCCTACACCCACTTGGTGCCTGTTTGTATAATGTAAATATCCTTGCCGCGCACCGAGTCGCTTATCTCAACGATGGTCTCGCGATTCGATTTGTGAAACACCGAGCAGCCGCCGTTCTTGATACCCATGCGCTCAGCCACCGAATTCGCCAGATCCGGATGCGAGTTGCCATTGATGATGACAATGTCCGAGGTCGAGATATTGTCCATGTCGCTTCTGCAACGCTTCGGTGGGCGTACGCTGCCTAATCTGCAAGATACATTCATAAGGGATAAGGCATAAAATCTAGTGGTAAGAAAAGGAAAACAACAAAACAGGCACAAAAATAAAATATAATAATGAACGGTGGGCGGTGGGTTGTATTGAAAGCTACCTGCGCTTGGACATGCTATGGACTCCAAATATACTATGTTATACGGCACGCCAACAGTGCGACAGTGGCTGTCATAACTTAAACACACGTACGCTCTGTTTCTCCCCAAACGATTTTTTAGTTTATTTATCGATTAGCCCCGTGAACTAGTTTCCGTCTAGTTGTGTCTTGGTGTTATTTATGTGTGTGTCTGCTGCAACAAGCGGCAGGGCAATTAGGTCTTCAACTTTGACAACGCCGTTGCCCAGTTTTTTCTTTCTGCTTCTTTTTAATGCGAGTTACGCGAAGTTTGCGCTGCCAAAAAGTTAAAGACTGCCATGACGCAAATTTAACTGTGTGAATCCTGGGCAAAACCGCAATGCCAACTGCGCGCGTTTATATCGATCAAACACAGGAGCACATGTGAGCTAGTGCCAGGTGAGTGTGCAGGTGTGTGTGTGAGTGTATGGCAACGTGAAAAGTGCCAAGCAATGCATTAGACAGGCCAGCGGCAGCAATCGGGCTGTGTGTGCCAAACTCATTCAGCCCAACTCAGCCCAAACGGCCAGTTTAAACCTGGGCAATAGGGCGACGCATAGTCTACGCTGATTGGAATCTATAAGAGTTGTAGCCAAGACATCGCACGCGAATCGAGTGCCGTCAAAGAAAAGTGAAAGGCCCAAGACATAAATCCAAAACTGGGCGGCAAATGTGTTCCGTTAATTGAATTTCTATTTATAAATTGGCTAGCGAAGCGTTTCAATGCGCTCACCAAGGAATACGCCTTGCCATCTGTAATCCAATCAAGTTGCACGCGGCATGGGTGACTCAGGTAAGTGTGGCAGATTTCTTGAGCTGGCCGCTGCTCCTTGATAAATGACGGCATTGCCGCAGCGGCACTTGCAGTGCCGCCCATTTGGGTTGCGGGCAACGCAACCGCGACTATTCAATTTCATACGTTGACGTTTGAGGCGGCAGTTCCGTGGCAGTTGCAGCTAAAAAGTTGCAACAGCGCGATAACCAAGACACGCATATGTGTGCTGCTCCTCCTCCTCCTCTTCCACCTGTCGAGTTTAAAGATAGTAACGCGGCAGGATTAACCTTTTGCGATACGGTAAGGTGTTGTGAAAGCACTTCTGACAGCATAGCTGCCGGATTAGCAGGCGCCAGTTGCATTAGAAGAGTCTTAGAAGTTAGCAGCACTAGCGCCATAACGGAGATTGGCCAAAATGCTGGGCATCGCCTGTGATCCGTTGCAGCATACGAGCATGTATGAGCGCGGCTCAGATGGTATTTGGTTTAGATCTTCGCCCACAGCTTAACTATGCTCATCTACTCAACTGCCTCGTTTGTAATCCTTTAAACACTGTCATTCCAGATAGCGAGGACAGCGATGGCGAGGGTGGCTTGGGAAATGTCTCGCGCGTGATTATACGTCCGCCCGGGCAGAGCGGCAAGGCTAAGCGCGGACATTTGTGCTTCGATGCGGCCTTTGAGACTGGAAATCTGGGCAAGGCGGAGCTGGTGGGCGAGTTCGAGTACGATTTGTTCCTGCGTCCAGACACTTGCAATCCGCGCTATCGCTTTTGGTTTAATTTTACCGTCGATAATGTGAAACAGGACCAGCGAGTGCTGTTCAACATTGTGAACATCAGCAAGAGCCGCAATCTGTTTAACTGCGGCCTGACGCCGCTTGTGAAGTCCTCCAGCCGGCCCAAATGGCAGCGTTTGCCCAAGCGTCAGGTGTTCTTCTATCGCTCGGCCATACACCAAGGCCACTATGTGCTCAGTTTTGGCTTTAACTTTGACAAGGAGGAAGATGTGTATATGTTCGCCCTGGCCCTGCCCTACAGCTACTCCCGCTTGCAGTCCTATTTGAATGTGATCGAGGCACGCCAGGGGCCCGAAAAGCGTTTCACGCGCTCCGTCCTGGTCAAATCTCTGGTGTGTTTGTCTATGTTGCTCAGCATCCGTGCTCATTTTTAATGCCTGTCGTTTTTTTTTTTGTACAGCAAAATCGCAATGTGGATCTGCTGACAGTTGATCAGGTGACGCACAGCCAGCGTCCGACGAATCGCCTGGAGCGTAGCTTCATACGCGTTATTGTCATACTCTGTAGGACGCACTCGAGCGAGGCGCCTGCATCTCATGTTTGCCAGGGCTTCATTGAATTTCTGGTGGGCAATCATCCCATTGCGCAAGTGCTGCGCGAGCATTTCGTATTTAAAATTGTGCCAATGGTCAATCCGGATGGTGTGTTCCTGGGCAACAATCGCTGCAATCTGATAGGCCAGGATATGAATCGCAATTGGCATGTGGCGTCCGAGTATACGCAGCCGGAGTTGCATGCCATAAGGAATATGCTAAAAGAGTTGGATAATTCGGATGTGAGTCGATTACAATTGGTATTGGGTTGAATGCAACATCTTTTACTTGTTCTTCCTCCTGGCCAAAACAGACATATCAGATTGACTTTGTGATCGATCTGCACGCGAACAGCAGCATGCACGGCTGCTTCATCTATGGCAACACATACGAGGATGTCTACCGCTATGAGCGGCATCTGGTGTTCCCACGGCTCTTTGCCAGCAATGCCAAGGATTATATCGCCGAGCATACCATGTTCAATGCGGACGAGCGCAAGGCGGGCAGCGTTAGGCGCTACTGCTGCGAGCGTCTCAGCGACACGGTGAATGCGTACACCCTGGAGGTGTCCATGGCGGGTCACTATCTGCGCGACGGCAAAACCATTGCGCTCTACAACGAAGATGGATGTAAGTATTCGACACTTTGCTCCAACTGTGCTAATCCTCTCTCTCTTGAACATGCAGATCATCGCGTTGGACGCAATGTGGCACGCACTCTGCTGCAATACTATCGCTTCATCAATGTGCTGGCCATGCCGCTGGTGTCGGAGATGCGTCTGCAGGGCAAGCGACGCGGCAGACCGCGAACGCATCATTCGCGCTCCCGCTCCAGAACACGCTACGAGGTGAAGCCGAGGCCAAAGACGACACGCTGTCATGCGCCCATTGCGTACACCAATCTGAGCATTTGCTATGATTCAGCCGGCGGCGGTGGCGGCATCTCCTCCGACGAGGGCGGCTTCTCACCAACGCGACCCATACCCATTGCGCCCGGCAGCAGCTGCTTCAGCGGCTATCGCAATTATCGGCGCGCTGTAACCGCCAGCTGTGCCCACCACGATCAGTATTCCCTTGGCTTGAGCGAGCCGGCCGCGTGCAGTCGCCACAAGCGAGCCGCCGCCGCTGCCGCCGGCCCTCTCTCTATAGAGCTGGCCGCGCCCTCGTTGGGCGTCAGTGTGCCGCCCAAGCCGTACCTGTCCATTATCGATCTGAATCAGCTGACCCGCGGCAGCCTAAAACTGAAGGCGAGCAGCTTTGATGCCGACGATCGGCGCTAGGTTGAAGTTTAACTGTGACTCTAATTGATTTTATATGCTTAACGCTTTTTCCAGCTGTGTTTCCCTAAATAAACAATTATGTCTATATCTAATCGACAGCTTTTGTTTCGCTCACGCGGCCGCAACAAGTTGGCGTTCACATTGAGTGAATGCTCTGGCTTATCACAGGTACAGGTGGGCACAGTGAAAACTGCCTTAGGTGGACATTTGCAGAACAATATAATGTCGAAGCAATAACAGGAATATATGCATGCATTTATAATTTTTAAATGATTAATAAAAAGGCAAGTTTTAAAGCATATCTATTGAGGTCCCAAAAAGTGCCAATTTTGGTTCGATTAATTATCCTTTTTGCGGCGAAATGCAATGTCCGCTTAAGGCAGCTTTTACTGTACACAAATATGTTTGTGCTTGCTGTGTTGTATGGCAATTGCGGTCTATTGTTGCGCATCCGCTTTGTTGGCCTGATGCCAGCCAGTGGCAGAGCTCCGCCTGCCCCGCGCGCGCACAATCAACAGCAACAGCAACAGCAACAGCTCATGAGCCCATGCGCCAAATTGGCGTCTCCAAGTGTAATGCGAGTCTATTGCGGCAAATATTTACAAATCGCAGTTAACTGACACACACAAAGGCAACAAACCGCACACACACACACAGAGCATATGTGTAGATATAATGAGTTTCTTTTTAATGGCGCCTCATTTTGAAGTGTCGCAATCTCTTGACATTTCAACTCAAACGAAATGCACGTGAGTGCGAGTGTGCGTGGGCTGTGTGTGGCATGTAATTAAGCACACTGTTAATTCCAGCTGGGTGCCGTTTATCTTATCGCACTGCATTAGGTACACGCTATTATTTAGACGGGTGTACATATTTATAAAGAAGATACCTGTTAAGAAAAGCGCTCAAATTTTTAACGAAAACACGCGCGAAATTTTGTGATAACACAACGAAACAGAAGGCAATGAGCCACTGACACTCAAGCGTTGATTGATTAACGCTTTCAATTAACAAATCCGACGTTTGTTGCGTGCACGCTCGAGGGCTCGAAATCAATAAAAGACACTTTATCGTTTTGTATAAATAAAAGCGAATTGAATAAATAAATGGAGCGCAAGAGCAAAGACAACCTTCGAGAGCGGTCGTGCGAGCGATGAGCAGCAGCGTTGCCGGACTGTCTCGTTAGTGGCCGACAATGCCAACCAAATTGATAACAATTACAAAATTCCGAAATACCGAAATAAATGACGTCTGCAAGGCACATAAATTTTACAGTGATTTTGATGAAATGCTTGGCTTGGTCGTGTTATTTCGTTGTCATGCAACCAAAAGCCAACAGCTGGCCTGCCTGACTGCTTGATTTGCATTGGCAACGCCGATAGAATTTGATGAACAAAACAAAATCCAAAAATAAAGCAAAATGAGCAAATAAAGTAACCAGCAACTCAGTTACATACAAACATACATACATACAAACATATGTGAACAGATAAAACTAACACGCAAATAAAACCAGAGTCTAGACAAGCCAAAATGAGGTGGGGGAGTGCTAGTATGTGGATGGGGATCGTCACAAACAGAAAATGTACACACAGCGAGCGAGACACTAATTAAATTATGCGGGTAACACAAAAATGAGCAAAAACGAAAGAAACCATATGCCGCTTTTTACTTGTTTCTCTGTAGGAGCATGTCGTTGCTTGTGGTCTTCTTGCTGTCAAAAACGTTAATAATTATTTATTGTAAACACATATACCACACTTAGAGCGCGTTGCGTCCGCCCTGTAGAATTATTGATCGCTTTAACACAATTTGTTGCACTTCTTAAGCATACACATTTATTTTACGCTGACTGAACCGTTGCAAGTAAGCGCACAAATGCAACTGAGAAGCCGTCTGCTAACTTTACTGCGAATCACTTGTTTTTTAGCTGTTGAATCAAACACTGAGTTTAATCTAATTTGTGAATATTACTCTTCTGCACTCTGTGCTGGTTGATACGAAGAGATACTTTTAGAGGGTAGTGCGGATATTAACGTGCTGTTATCGATAGTCAAATTAATCGCTACCAAATGGGCTTCAATACATAAGAATATTTTGTTACAATTGGCCTAATTATATTAATTATATATTTTTTTTATTATGAATACATAAGATAAATGCTAAACATAATCTGTTTTGGCCCTTAAATCAATTGCCTTCAATTAAAGGGAGACCCTCAATAATGTTAACTCATGCGGAGCTTTTGTTAGCTGCGCCAAAGCTTTTGCTATGTTAAAAGGTTTTCTGTTCGTATTTGAATGTTAAGAAATATGAATTTGTCGATCAAGCAACGCTATCAGCTCAGTATGGCAGCATAGGAAATGCATATTAATCGATAAGTCTGAATCACATCTCTAATAATTGTAATTTTGTTTTGCTTGCTTGCAACCAAGCTAGAAACAATAAATATGACATTTACTTTCGCCATCGCTTGCTTGGAGGCGAAAAAACAGCAGATAGTGCATCAGCGCAGAGTAAATAAAACCTCCAGAGCAAACACGTGTGTGCTCAGTCTGCCGGATGCGCGGTGAGTGGCATGCAATTCGGCTCTCTACTCTGCTTTACACTCCAAGTCTATTTTCAGATTCATAAAACTATTTCGAGTAGACAAGGAAACGTTTAAGTGGATATTGCGCAAAATCCAACCGGATTTTACACTGTCCTACCTAACGCCAGCGCTTCAGCTGGCCGCAACTCTCCACTTCCTAGCCACCGGCTCCTACAAGTTGTCCGTCTCAAAGAATCGTCCCGTCAACATTGGCAGGAGCACATTTAGCAGAATACTGCACAATGTGATTCCCCTAATGGAGGCGGTGCTGTGCCGGGAAGCGATTACATTGCGAATGACCCAGCAGCAGATAAAACAATCCCGCGACTACTTTTATGAGAACTATCAGCTGCCCAGAGTCGTCGCTTGCGTGGATGGAATGCAAATCAAAATCCTGAAGCCGGTGCGGGATGAAACAATCTACTTTAACGATAAGGACTATTACAGCATCAATGCTATGCTGGTGTGCAACTACAACATGGAGATCCTGGCAATAGACTGTACGCATCCTGGCTCGTGCAGTGACCATTATATCTGGAGCAATAGCCAAGCCAGGGAATATTTGTCGCGCAACGTGAAATGCCATTATGTTCTGGCCGATACGGCTTATGCGCTGGAAAACTATGTTTTAACACCATACAGAAACGCTGACCAGGATTCGATGGAGCAGCGTTTCAACGAGAGGCATGCTGCAGCACGATCTGTTGTGCAACGCACCATTAATCTGCTCAAGAGCCGATTTGGATGCATGCAGCGCGCCTTGATGTATGACGCCAGGTTTGTGGCAAATGTCGTCAATGTGTGCTGTGCCTTGCACAATATTTGTCGCAGGCGTAGGACGCCAATCGATGAAAAAGAAATTTTACACGAGCAGATGGACGAGTTTGATGGGGAAATAGAGTACGAGGACGACGACACTGGCGCACTGTTGCGGGACGAAATAGCATGCGCACTTCGCTGACAATGTTAATATTTGCATTTAGAATAAATAGGCCAAAAGTAGTCAGTATTATTAAATATAGCAAATATATTAAAAAAGCTTAAGCTAGTATATACATAAACATATTCAAATTAACCGATTACCTATCGATTTTTGCGCGTAAAGATATCGACTGCAAAAGGAAGCATTAGCCAAGCAGCACACTGCTTCTTGCAGGCGTACTGCTTGCTGGTATCTTACAGTGCCAACAAAACTGTTTCAAACGTACCGATCAGAGCTACTAAAACTGTGTATATAACTGCCAAATTTTGGAATGTATTTAGGATTTTATTGGAATGTAAGAAATCATTTTAGCTGGTAGCTCAAAAGAGACTTATTCTTGACCATGATCCACCTTAACTTCTGCTGGTCCAGCCTAATTGCATTGGATCTGGTTTATGCATGCAATTCCCTTTGATATGAGAATTAGTCAGGGTGAAGCCCAACTGCGCGTGTCTGGATCCATTCGCCAGCTAACAGTCAAACATGATGGTTGGAATACTGTGCCTGCTGCTGCTGCTGATTGCCTCTATTGAAAGCGAAACCATCAGCGTGGGCGAGCTCAAAAATGTTGTGAAGCTGGAACGCGAACTGCTGCATAATTTGCGCATATATGCCCAGGAGTTGGAGAACAGACTTCGCCTCATCAATGGGTAAATAGTCGCAAAAATGCAGACAGACATAACTAGTTTATTCCGCAATAGTGCGATTACCGAGTACGGTGAGAGCATTCAGCAGCTCGATGGACATCCCGACTTGTATCTGTCGAATCCCCTCTTTGCTTTCCGGATATTAACGCACATGCGCCAGCACTGGCCAGCGTGGCAGCTCTACATGACGCAGCAGCCGGGCAGCGACCAGTTGGAGATGCAGCAGCGACTGATCTCGCTTCTGCCCACACGTGACGCCCACAAGGAGGCGGCACAGAGCCTTCAGTCCCTGTTTAAGTTCTACAACTATGCACCCGCAAACTTTCTGTTGGAGAACAACAAACACTTGAGGTGAGTTTTTTTTAACCATAACATAAGTAACAGGCAGTTGGAGGCATTTCCCACTTCATAGAGTATATATAGATGCTTTAGCAGGGCCTAGAGCAGCGTCGATTTAGCCATGTCTCTCAGTCTGTCCATCCGTCTGTCCATCCGTCCCCATGTCCATTCGTCCGTATGTCCATCCGTCCATCTGTCCGTCCGTCCATATGTATGAACGGATCTCAGAACCTCCGAGCAGTACGAGTTTTTTTCCGATAGTCGATAACCTGCTCAGTTTCCAAGTAATCGATCATAATCGATATCGAAATCCTGTTTTTTGAACAAATCTCTTAAGCTATAAGAGCTAGAGTTACCAAACTTGGCATGTAGCTTCTGTGATAGTACATATATATCAAGAATCTTTAATTTTATAGCTATCGGGTATCCCCTTGTAGGGAACTCCCGAATAGATCCTCTTACTTGTTATCCCTTACGATATATATGCTAGCATGTTTGCATAGTACGAAGTTCGGACTTCTAACTATTATATTTCCATTTACTGAAGAAATACCCTGTACTTTATGCGCACAGGCTGCGTTCGTTGGACTGCTACCACATGGGCCGGGAGCTGTACGAGCAGCAGAGGTACCACGATGCAGTCGATTGGCTGGCTGCAGCCGCTGCGAATTACAGCCCTACATCTCCGCATGATGCGCTGCTGGGCGTGTCTCTGGGGCGGATTTACGAAATGCAGCTCAAGGTTTTCAAGAAACTCAGTATGTATTTGATTTTAGCGCTTGGATTGGCGCAATCTAATGAAGCCAATCTGTGGCAGATATGCGAGTGGAGGCACTCGTCGTGCTCTCACGCGCTCTGGAGCTGCAGCCGGAGAACAAGCTGCTGCTGAGCCAGCTATACCAGCTGGAGCAGCAGGAGTCAGTGCATCCATTGCCAGCGTCTGCGGATCCGCTCAGCGAGCTGCAGAAGCAATGCAGGGGCAACTACAAGCAGAACTCGTATTTGGTCTGTGAGTTGAATGACGCCCTGACGCCCTTCCTGCAACTAGCTCCATTGCGTCTGGAGGAGGCGTGGGACGAGCCCTACGTGATCATCTACAAGGATGGCATATATGAGCGCGAGATAGGCCACATGAAGGATGCCTTCGAGCATTGTCCCCCAAGTGCCCGACTGCGGACAATCGCTGGCGTCAAGGGCTGCACCATCTCAGATAGATATAGTGTGATCACAACCTTGCTCACGGATCGGATTGTTGACATGACGGGTCTCAACATGCACAAGAACCAAATGTTTCTCTTTGAGTACGGTCCGCGGGAACCGTTCCAGCTACAAGACCTTTACCAGGTGAAGTCCATTCAATTATGTGGGTTCATAAATATATTTGCCTTCCTTTCAACTGCAGTCCATCGATGTCAATGTGGAGGCTATTGAGACTACAGCCATCCTGTTTGTAAGTAAAACGCCAGCCAGCCCGTCGAATAGGTAGCTCCTCTTAACTGCTTACTCTATTCGCCAGCTCAACGACATGGCGCTGGGCGGTGGGATTACCATTTCCAACCAAGAAATGGCCGTCTTTCCGCGTCGAGGCGATGCTTTAATTCTCCAGAACGAAGAGGACTTCCAGTACACCGTGTGCCCCAATGTGGTGGGCAATCGACTGGGTAAGCCTTCGGGCAGTTCCTATGCCAAGTGGTTGCCTTTTAATAGCTCCTGTTCTCTTTCCACGCTTGCAGTGCTCATCAAGTTTCTGATGGCCAATGAGTGAACTCTTCCCAGTTCACTGGAAATCAAATATTCACAAGTGTTCAGCTTTCGATAATAAAAAACTTAAATCCCTATAATTAGCCAAGATAAGATTAATTTTAATTGAAGTCGAGTTTTTTTCAATCCGACCTATGTTAGGCTTCAAAGCGTTTGGTCCCGACTTCCAAAGAATATGTTCTGCAATATATCACAAAGACAACACTTAAATAAAGATCTTGAGGGTCATCAAAATACGTTGGAATATGTCGAACATCGGTTTATCGGAATTTGGGCTCTTTGGACTCGTGCGGCTTGGGATTGTCGATTGGTATACCCCAAATCAAGTTCTGCCGGGTGACAGCTTTTTAATCTACCTTAAAGCATGGCAAACCATTTCGTCTCGTTTCAATCAAGACAAATCCACATTTAACGCTAGGTCGAGCGATTCACCCATCAGAACCACGTCAAAGATGTTGCAGCTCACAATACTGCGCTCGGTTCTAAATATCCTGGGCTTTGCTGCGGTTGTGGTGCAAGGTGAGACAAGTGAGAGCGCCAGGAGCTACGTAACATGTATGACTGACAAGCTGCACTTGCTGGCGATGGAGAGGCAGCTCATGGTCAATCTTCACGAATACATCGACAAGCTGCAGGAGAAGGTTCATACGCTGAGGAGGTAATTGACGCAAGCTGTTTACAATCAATATACAGATTGATTCTATTATCGCAGGCTGGCCGAGGTGCTGGAAAGTTCCCTGCAGGCAGCCGAGGGCCGTGAGCAGGAGTTTCTCTCCAATCCCTTGCACACCTACACGCTCATACGTCACATGCACGCGGACTGGATTCAGCTGGAAAGGTCCATGCAGCAGCCGGTCGGTCAGGGTAAGATTCCGTGCAGCTCATAACATTCGATTCGGCATATTCAAATGCGTGTCAATATGTAGAACAAATTGATTTTATCAAAGAAATGCAACCCGAGCTACCGCTGCACAGCGATCTGATGGAGGTAACGGCAGCCATGCACCGAGTACAGCAGACCTATGAAATGGAACCGGCAGACATGTCCAAGGGCCTGCTCGATGGAGTGCAGCTAAAGTGGGTAATCAAACATAAGGTGGGTGAAATGTTGATGTATTCTTTCCAATTGACAGTGCGAGTCTTTCGATCCTCGACTGCTATGAGATGGGCGCTCTGCTCTTTCGAGCGGCTGAGTTTGAAGATGCGTCCAAATGGTTGCGAACGGCCCGACAGCTGTGGAATCAGTCGCAGTCCGACCTTTATGTGCTACTGAACGTGTCGCGAAGCGATATATCCTCACTCCTGGCCAGATCGCTCATTGCAAACGGTGAGCTTTGCCAAACATAGGAAGGCTTCTACTTGACATTCCTTGGCATCCATTTAGGTAACTTTGTCCATGCTCGAGATCTGTTGATCGAAGAGCCCGAGTTGTGGGCTCGAAAGGAGGAGTTTTTTGCGGAGTATTGGAATCATAGAAAATCGGCAGGCGATATAGATAGATATATCGGAAGATTGGAAGAACCGTTTGCCAAACTCTGTGGCTCCTCCCACAATCCGAAACCAACTCAACTGACATGCTATTACAAAACGAATCCGTCCGAGTTTTTGCGTCTGGCGCCCTTCAAAATGGAACTGTTGTCCAAGGATCCTTACGTAGTCGTTTTCCATGATGTGATCTACGATTCGGAGATCGCCGGACTGATCCGTGTCGGAGAACCAACGCTCAAACGCACAGCTGTTCAAAACATCACCCAAAATGTGGATACTTACATATCAAAGGATCGTACGGCGACCGGTTCTTGGTTATTGAACGGAAATCTGACTAAGCTGGAAAGGAATATGATTTGGCGAATTCAGAAGCGGATCGAGGACATGACTGGACTGCTAATAACCGGTTTTTCTGAACAAGATTTGCAGCTCTTAAATTATGTTTTCGGCGGACATTATCAGTTGCATTATGACTTCTTCAACTGCCCGGCATTCCCCCACGATCGTATTGCTACCACGTTAATCTATGTAAGTGCTTCATTGAGTTTTCTTTTGATTAATATGACCCACCCTTTTTATGCAGCTCAATGATGTGGCTAAGGGCGGAGCCACTGTCTTTCCCAGATTGGACCTGGTGGTGCAGCCGGAACGGGGCAAGGTGCTCCATTGGTACAACATGTTGCCTGCAACTTTTGACTATGATCGGCGCTCTCTTCACGGCGGTTGCCCAGTTCTGATCGGCGAGAAATTAGGTAAGCCAGTTCTAAAATCTCTAAAATAAGTTTGTCCGCAATTGGTTTTTGTTCCAGCCCTCACGAACTGGATTTACGAGTGGGATCAAATTTTCAGGAAGCCTTGCTTGCAACCACCCGTGAATCGCACATACTACTTCGATGTTACAGATTAAACTTTTTAATAATAGATTACAAATTTAATCTTTGGTAAAAATAAGTTCAATAGTATCCTATTATCCTCAACATTGTAGCTATTGCTTGGAATCTCCACGAAATCCCTTTGAGGATAGACAGAGAAACCAGGGAGACAGAGAACTATATAAAAATATATCTATATCTATATCTCTATATATCTATCTTTCTATATATCTATATATCTTTGTATCTATATATCTATATATCTATCGTCAATATATCTATATAGATATATATTATTAGACAACCGAAATCATGAACCGAAAGGCAAGACATCGAACCCAATCCACGAAACTTATTGCTGGGCTTGTGGCCATAATGGTCAAGTTCATCGAAATGGCAAAACGTAGTTTACACAAGATTTACTTCCTTTACTTTCTTTTCCTGCGCTTGCACTTAGCCCATTGCGCCATTAAGTGGGCAATTAAATTCAATTAGCCCCACACACACACACACACACACACACACACACTCCCCCAAATGCGATTGCCTCGCGCCCATATATCAGATGCTGCTCCTGATGCAGCAGCTCGAACTTTTCACTTCGATTTCCTTGGGCGCTGCTAATAATTTCATAGATTTATCGTTGGGCGGGCATTTCGCCTGTTTTTCGAAGTTTGCAGTACTGTAAAGTTCATGACTTCGATTTTGATTTTGATTATAATTTCCTTTTAGATTGATTGCTCTTGTTTGTGAGTTTTGAATTGCAATAAAATTACCTGAATGTGATACTTAAATTTGGATTTGAGCTTAAAGTTGGCAAGTTGCTTTAGCCTTTTTAAGGCTGAGTGAATATACATATATAGAGCGGGGCTATGGAAGGCCAGCTTGAACTGTAGTCTCATGTTTGAGCATCACTTTAAGCTAGTGTCATTGTGATATGTGCATTTGTCTTGATTTTACTTCACTTCCAATTGAGTCGCTCACATTGTGAGCCAATAGACAAGTGACAACATCTGGCAACGCTGGCTCACTATGCCATTCCACGAAAGGTAACTGCGGCAATTTATCAAAATTTGCAAATGGAATGAGAGTGTGGGCGAGGGACGGAGGTGCGACACGCAGCGCAGGCCACAAAAGCAATTGGCATGCGTGTGTGCGTGATTGCAAGGCTCAGAGTCTATGTGTAGGTGTATTGCTGTGCGCACATGTGTGTGTTTCTGTACTTGACTTAAATTGCTTTTTTCAATGCCACCGGCTGCAGCCATTTGCTGTTGCTGTTGTTGTTGCCCTAGCTGGCTGCCTGTCACATGTGGAGCCAAATGTCATTTCAGCAAAATCCCTCAAGTCGTTCATCTGCCTTGTCTGTGGCCGACTGCAGCTGTGTGTGTGTGTGTGTGTGTGTGAGGGTGTGCGGAAGAAAACACTGTGCAAAATATGTTGGCAACATTTTTCTGTGGCTGCTTAAATTGCACTGTACCGCCAGGGATGAGGCGGGGTGGCTGCTTTTACAAGACAATGAGCAGTTGTTGCTTCTGTTGCAGCAACAACAACAGCAACAGCTACAATGAGTGTGCGTTCAAAAGGTGAACGTGTGTGTGAGATTCCCTTTGTTTGTGGCCTATTGCTTGCGACAAATGAGGTAAAGAAATGCAAATACAAGACAACATATAAGAAAAAGGCAGCATAAGAGAAATAAATGTAACATATAATGTAACAAAACTGTTTTCTCTGTGTGCTACGCATGCCCAACTAACTATACATACATAAGTGCGAAGAGTACAGAAGATAATTTATTTGTCCACTGTTCACACAATTTTTGCGTTGTTGCTTTCGATCCCGTTTAATGAGAGTGAGCACTGAGCAGTGAGCAGAGAGTGGTGTGAGCGAGAGATGAAATTTCGCAATGCTTTCGATCCCGTTATCCTACTTGAGTGTGCATTGTGGATGGTGTGAGCGCAACTTAGAGTGAGTGAGCTTTGATATTTTTTGTTGCTATAAGTTGTTGTTGTATTAGCACAAGCGCCGGCTTAGCGTAGGCGCGAGCTTAAAGCTCTAATTTAGTCTGTGCGCGTCTGTCATATTGATCGGTTGTTCTTCCGTCGCGTGTGTAGAAAAATTGATATTTTACCAAAGTTTAATTAGCTGCTTAGTATTAAACGGGAATAGTTTGTGTTACGCTGTGCTGTGCTGTGTGTGTTATTACAAATTACTATAAATCTGTGTTCTTTCGGTTCTGCGCGCTTGAGGGTCTCGTTTTGTGTCGTCTAATTATTAGCTTAGAGCTTTTTTCTTCACAACAAAATGGCGCGAACGAGAAGAGAGAGCAACATAAAACTTTTCTTAAGCTGGGTGAGTAGGAATTTTTTCTTCCTCCTTCTTCATGTTATAAAAGCACACACAACATATTTGAATCGTAAGAACTCCATCAACTTCAATCTCTTTGAGTTGACAGATTTGTTTGACAATCATTTATTTGTATTTATTGCGTGGAGCTTGTTGCACGGCTTTCAACATGATCCGTGGCCCGCATTACCTTCTTCATCTGCTCGCTAATAAAATGAAAATGCCAACCATTTTCACTTAAGCCCCGTGCAATGCGATAGTCCCGGATAGCTGCTTCTGCTGTCAGTGCTAAAAAATTAGCAACAATTTTTCAGCATCGCATCAAATGCGACGACTGTCAGCCGCATCGTAAGGCAAGCTTCCGGCGCTGGGGGAGGCACTTATCAAGTAGCTGACTTACTTTGCCGGCTACACCTTGCCACAGTCTACCCTGCCGCATGCCGCATGCCACATGCCACATGCCACGCACTTTGTCATCTGCCTGGCTCTGCTTGGGTAATTTGATATGCTGTGGCTTATGCTTTTTTTTTCCTGTTTCTTTTATTTTATTTGCCACAAACGATTTACTTGCGCGCCGCAATTTGCTCGAAATTTTTATTTAAACAGGAATATGATGGCCGAGATTGAGACTCTTGTAAAGTACCCCTAAATGAATTGTTTGCGCTGCAGATTGAAATTCTAATGCCAAGATATATTGTGGCAGATACGCGGCTACGTACTTGTAGATACGCAGATACTCAACTCAACTTAACTCAGCTGCGGGTCCACCCGTTGGCTCACCTTCAGCTTTGTCTGGCGTCTGGACTCTGAAGGACTTGGCCATGTCCGCGGGCTGCTGCAAAAGACACTCGGCAAATTAATTTGCTGCAGACACCGCTCAAGCAGCTGGGCGTGGTCCCGCCCGCCAAGACGTCCGTGTCGACGCCTTGAGTATATTATTATTATTTTCATACCCCTTACACGTATCAAATGGGTGAACTAGGCGATGCGGGCTTTAGCAAATGTAATTTGCCGAACCCATATAGCATATATATTCTTGATCAGCATTTGTCTGTTCTTCTATATCGATCCGTCGGGCTTAGAGATTCTTAGATCTAGAGCCCTTATCTCTGGTAGTTAAGTTTTCCTATGAACCAGATCAGATGAATTCTAATTCAATGCATCGATAACTTATCACGTTTCTATCATAACGATAATAATCGATTAGAAAAAATATAAAAGGAAATGAGAAGTTCATATGCTTGTAATCTCAGCTCGGCGCTGGTCACAGGGTATCTCCGCGTCATGCAATCTCGAATAGTTCACATTTGTTTGTTTTTTGTTTTTTTTTGCTGCTGCGTTTTGTGTTTTTTGCGTTTTTTGCTGCCGCTTTAAATTGGTTTCATGTTCGCATCGCCCACTTGTGGCTGCTTTGGCTTTTCTTGCACCTTGGCTAATTGCAATTGGATGCGCATGTTGCTGACAGCAGCTCGACTGAAGAAGAAGAATCTTTCAAAATTTAAGCGCTTTAAATGAACAGCAAGCTGCGAAAAAAAACTAAATCGAGCTTTGGAAGGGCTCCTGGCGTTAATGGCTGTTTTATGGGCAAGCGTTGCGGTCCCTGCGCAGCGGCAGCTGCTGCCAGTGCTAAATATTTTGTCAGTGGCCGGGGCAAAAATCTAATCTATGCAAGATACACACACACACACGCACACTAACAGCAACACCAACACAACACACTCATGCACACATGTGCGTTTTTTTCGGTCGACACTTTTTTGCTGCATACTTTCGAGTGCGTCGCAGTTAATTGCCCCTTGAAGAATACGCCTCACATTGTACCTATGGAGACAAAAGCATTTCGGTTTGCCCCACGGTGCATGTGCGCGTTTTAATCGGTTTGACTTTGCTGCTGACCTGCGGCGCAACAACAGCAACAGCAACAAGGACTACGACACGAGGACAACAAGGACGAACAGCGTTGCGATTGCGGCTCGCAGCAGATTGAATCCTAATCGAGGTTTTGACTTTGGTTACGTTGCGTAAACACGCAACAACCGGTGCACACACACGCACACACATAAGCACACATACACATGCCTGTGCCACTGCAGTTTATTGTAGCATACTTGCAGGCTGGACGCCGCATGGCTGGCGTCTCATTTGGGGCCAATTTGTGCGTTTGGCATTGGGCTGGGGCACATTGAATGCTGCTGCAGTTTGCGGTTTGCATCCTTATGGAGTTGCTGTTGTTGTTGTTACGGCTGTGTTGGGCCACGCCTTTAAATGTGCTTTTAATCGCTGACTTTGTGCCTGGCGCTGCCTTCAGAAGTTGCCACCAATATTGAACCGGCGCGTGTCTATGCAGCTGTTGACAACGCCGCACACAGCCTCACGTAGATGGGCAGATGGGCAGACGGGCAGCCGGGACAGGCCGACATAACTTTTGACAGTTTCAAGTTTGACACCCCAAAACTCTGGCAACTTATGACACAAAAGGCGCTGCCAAACGCAAGACTTTGTGCTGCGTCCTGTGTCTTGGCCCCTTTTTTGTATGCAGCAATGCGCTGACTTGACTTGTCTATGGCTCTGTCTCTGTTGCTGCCCTCCCTGCGACCTTCAGCACATGACAGACATACACACACACACACACACTCACACATCCAAACACACGCTGCCAACTTGAGTATCACGTAAGCATTTCACTTGCTGTTGGTTCAACCAGCCACCACGCCCCTCACTCTACTCACGCCCTCATCAACCACATTTGTGC